GACCAAATGAGAATTAAATATCATTCTAGTTTAAGTTAAATAGAATTCAAGAAGAAAAATATACTTGGAAAGTCTTAAGGAAGTTAAAAAATACACTCCACCAAAAAACCATGAGTTTAAGAAGAAATGTTCAAGAAAGTAAATTAGAAAACATTTTGAACTTAAAATGAAAATGGAACATGACAAAATCTGTGAGATGATCCTGAAAGATTACTTAATAGGGATGTTTGTAGCATTCCATGCTTATCAGAAAAAATTAGAGTTCTCAAATTAATAATGTAAGCTTCCTCATGAGTAACTAGAAAAGGAATATCAAAGTAAGTCCAAAGCAAGCAGAAAAAAGAAAGTAACTAAGCTAAGAGCAGAAATCAATGAACTGAAAACAGAAAATGAGAAGAGAAAGTTAATGAAACAAAACACTGGTTCATTGAAAAGGTTAATAACACAGACAACAGATAGACAAACTTTTATGTACCAAGACTGACAAAAGTTAAAGACACAAATTATCATATTGAAAATGAAACAAGGGATAACTGGAGAACCTGAATACATCAAAAGAATAATAAGGGAATACCATGATTAACTCCACACACAAACTTGACAGTTGAGATGAAAGACAGTAATTCCTCAAAAAGAAGAAACTAAATTGCAATTCATCCTATATAAAATAGAAAAAAGATATAAAGTAGTCCTATAACTACTAAGGACATTTTTACTAATAATTTTACCACCCACTGCCACCCTCCAATCTCCAGAGCCAGATTATTTCACAGAATTCTACCAAATATTTAAATAAGAATTAACACTTGTTCTACATAATCTTCCCGAAAATAGAGGGAACATTTCTCATTCAATTTCATGAAGATAGTATTATCCTGAAACAAAGTAGAAATAAAGAAAACCACGCCAGTGCCTCTCATGAATACAGACATTAAAATCATGACCAATGTTGCGCGCAGTGGCTCACACCTGTAATCCCAGCACTTTGGGAGGCCAAGGCTGGCAGATCACGAGGTCAGGAGTTCAAGACCACCCTGGCCAATATGGTGAAACCCCACCTCTACTGAAAAAAAAAATACAAAAAGTAGCTGGGCAGGGTGGCATGTGCCTTTAGTCCCAGCTACTCAGGAGGCTGAGGCAGGAGAATCGCTTGAACTTGGAAGGATCTCACTCATATGTAAAATCTGAAAAAGTCAAACTCATAGGGAGTATAATGTGATTGCCAAGGGCTGGGGACCAGGGGAAGTGGGGGAGATGTTTATCAAAGAATACGAAGTAATAGTTATGTATGATGAATAAGTTCTGGAGATCTATTGTACAGCATCGTGACTATAGCTAACACTTTGCTATATATTTAAGATCTGCCAGAAGAATAGATCTTAAATGTTCTCACCATACACATAAAAAGGTAACTATGGGAGATGATTTGTTAATTAGCTTGATTGTAGCAATCATTCCACAATATATACAAATATCAAAACATCATTCTGTATACTATAAACATTACCACATCCTGTGGCACAACACTTGTTCCTTGCCCCAGACATTTTAGCCTGTCATCCAGTCCAGGAAGGGAAGTCACTTCCTGAACGATGACATGTCTGACAACATTGCCCAACCAAATGGAAAGATCAGATGTCCCTGCACTATTAGAAGGACTCTAGCACTCTGGCATTCCTTGATCCTTTCCACCCTTGAGGGATCCCATAGTGGGGGTACCTGATGGAAGCATTGACTCCACATTAGAGTTGGGGGTACCTTTTTGGGGGTACTGTGGCACCCTGAATTGCAAACCACCCACAGGATGTACCCTCTAAAAAAAGAAAATGGCTAGGATCACTGGAATTTTGATTTCACAGGCAGAGGCAGTCATCTGGTCCACATCTACCTCCTCCAAGCTCAGTGTTTCTCAACATGTGCTGCAATCATGTGGTTCCCTTACCCTGGAGCACAGTGTTCTGTGTTCCTACTGCCCTATTCAGATGAGGTGGTACCACCCTACTAGTAGGCTGTCTTAATGTCCTTTCTTCACTAGTTGTGAGCTGGCTTTCCATTAAACAGCTCTATTGGCTTGAGAATGACAGGGTGCATGGAAAGCCCATTGTGTTCCATGAGTGTGCCTGCTGTCATGTTCTTTGGGGGCAGTAAAGCAGTTTCCTTGTCAGAGCAAAGTTTCAGGGGTATCCAAAAACATAATTTAAGTTCCCCTAAAAAGTGGCTATGGTATTCCCAGCATCCACAGGGGACACGTATTTGTCCTTTCCAGGTAGCAACTTTTTGCCATACTCTTTGTAAACACACAGATCTTTTTACACTTGGTTGTCATTTGTCTGACGAGATAGCCAGGCTGTTCTTTTTGACAAGTAGTGAGAAGTGGGGGAGCAGTGGATTGGTCCAAAGTCACCTGGAGAACCATCTTGCAGGTAGTGGTCCAAATCACAATTCAATTGTATTAGGGTAAATGGCAAACTACTTGTCTGTTTCATAAAGAGCCTCTGAGCCCTTTCTAGGGCTAAATAAACCTTTGTAAAGATCTGAAAAAACACTAGCAGTTTGGATTGCTGGGTCAAATCGAATTCCTATTTCTAGGTCCTTGAAGAATCGCCACACTGTCTTCCACAATGGTTGAACTAACTTACACTCGCACCAACAGTGTAAAAGTGTTCCTGTTTCTCTGCATCCTCTCCAGCATCTGTCTACAGATTTTTTAATGATTGCCATTCTAACTGGCGTGAAATGGTATCTCAGCATGGTTTTGATTTGCATTTCTCTAATGACCAGTGATGATGAGGATTTTTTCATGTTTATTGGCCTCATATATCTTTCTTTGAGAAGTGTCTGTTCATATCCTTCATTCACTTTTTTTTTTTTTTTTTGAGACGGAGTTTCGCTCTTGTTACCCAGGCTGGAGTGCAATGGCGCAATCTCGGCTCACCGCAACCTCTGCCTCCTGGGTTCAGGCAATTCTCCTGCCTCAGCCTCCTGAGTAGCTGCGATTACAGGCACACGCCACCATGCCCAGCTAATTTTTTGTAGTTTTAGTAGAGACGGAGTTTCACCATGTTGACCAGGATGGTCTCGATCTCTCGACCTCGTGATCCACCCGCCTCAGCCTCCCAAAGTGCTGGGATTACAGGCGTGAGCCACCGCGCCCGGCCCTTCGTCCACTTTTGAATGTGTTTGCTTTCTTTTTGTAAATCTGTTTTAGTTCTTTGTAGATTCTGGATATTAGCCCTTTGTCAGATGGGTAGATTGCAAAAATTTTTTTCCCATTCTGTTGGTTGCTGGTTCACTCTAATGATTGTTTCTTTTGCGGTACAGAAGCTTTGGAGTTTACTTAGGTCCCATTTGTCTAATTTGGCTTTTGTTGTCAATGCTTTTGGTGTTTTAGTCATGAAGTCCTTGCCTATGCCTATGTCCTGAATGGTTTTGCCTAGTTTTCTTCTAGGGTTTTTGTGGTATTAGGTCTTATATTTAAGTCTTTAATCCATGTGGAGTTAATTTTAGTGTAAGGTGTCAGGAAGAGGTCCAGTTTCTGCTCTGCACATGGCTAGCCAGTTATCCCAACACCATTTATTAAACAGGAATCCTTTCCCCATTGCTTTTGTCAGGTTTGTCAAAGATCAGTTGTTTGTTGATGTGTGGTGTTGCCTCTGAAGCCTCTGTTCTGTTCCATTGGTCTATATCTCTGTTTTGCTAACAGTACCATGCTGTTTTGATTACTGTAGCCTTGTAGTGTAGTTTGAAGTCAGGTAGCGTGATGCCTCCAGCTTTATTCTTTTTGCTTAGGATTGTCTTGGCTATGTGGGCTCTCTTTTGGTTCCATATGAAGTTTAAGGTGGTTCCAGCTAGGGGAGGGACAGCAGGGAGGTGGGGAGGGATAACATGGGGACAAATGCCAGATAGGTGACAGGGGGATGAGGGCAGCAAACCATATTGCCATGTATGTACCTATGCAACAATCCTGCATTATACCCCAGAGCCTAAATTAAAAAAAAAAACAAAAACAAAACCAAAAAAAAACTAGCAGTTCCTAACAGCTCAAGGCTACATCCATAGATTGACTTTATCCTCCTCCTGAAAGTGCTTACCTGAGAAAACTCAAGGTTGCTAAGAATTTACTGTTTCTTCTAACCAACACTTGAAGGTAGAGTCCCAGTCTCTGGGAGGGTAAGAGCCTAGCTTGGCATTAGGGGCAGTTAACAAATCCAAATGGGTTTCACATCAGCCAACTCCCTTTCCTGTTTATATCCCTTACTCTACTAAGCCCCCACTTATCTTCCTCTCTATTCCCTCATTCTCCCTTTAAGACACCCAGTCACCTCAATACAAATCAAAGTTGAGTTCAGTTCATACTGGACTCTTCTTATTGCAAGAGTATGTTACTGATGTAAATCTATCCTTACTATTTTTACTAGTATCTGGCTTTGTCTTTGATATGTTCTGTATCTTCATAGTTCAGCAGCCAATTACTTTGGCTAACTCCATCTACTTAGATTGAAGTCATCTACTCAATCTGGGGACCTCTTTCTCCAGGTTCTCGTTATCCCTTCTGAGATTTCTCCTTCACTCTCTGGAAGATGTGGTTATCCCAGATCCCATCCTTTAGTTTTCCAGACCAGAAACCCTCAGGCTTTCCACTGCAGCCTTAGCTTTCCTACAGCTGCATGGTGACTACAGCTGGTACTTAGGTCAAAAACATGAACCTTAGCTTGTGCCTGTCTCTTCCTCCAAATTTCATTTCGTATCCAAAATCTTTCTAGTTTTTCTTCAGTTTCCTGAGTTCTCAGGTAGTTGTTTCTACAATATATATTTACCATCTGTGGGAATGTTGGACTTTAGATTATGCCACCGTATTGGAAGAGAAAATTTCATGTCTTTGCTTTGCATTTGCTGTGAGCTTACTTGAAATGCCAAGACTGTCACCACCATAATGAACCGTCTATTCATGTGGTTGAGGTTCTTCTTTAAGATAACATTAATGTTGTACATACTTCTCATACAAGTATTTTTCTTAAATTTATTTTGTACAACAAATACAAATGTTAAAGCAGTCAGTGAGGTGGTATATCTTAGGTTCTGGAGACAGGCAAGATCTTTACATGGGCCCTGGCACTCACTCACTGTATTATCACCCTGAGCAAGTTTCCTAATTTTTCTACTCAACTCAATTCCTCACACAGTGCTGACAACAATATTATCTGCCTTACTAGATTACTTTGAGGATCAAATATGAAAATACATACAAATGATAACAGCAGCTAATGTACAGAAAAAGCTTGGTAAATACTAGTTAACTCATATTACTGCAGACGTGTGAAACAAATGTCTCCAACCCCCTTAATGTCTTCCCTCTAATAAAAAAAAACAAAACATTACTCACAAACATTTAATACATGTTTGAGGATTTTCAAAGATCAAGGTTATACAAGACAAAAATTAGAATGCATACACACAGAAAACTTGTAGCAAAGGAAATTAGTACATCAGTCAAAATAGTCAATTTCCTAAATTATTTTTAAAACATTGACTAAAACAGCAATGGAGTACCACTTAATAACTATTAAATCAAGAATAAAATTAACAGCAAGTAATGACTAATTTGTATACTGTGGTATACTTTAATGTTGACAGTGTGAATTGATACAATTGTTGGGCACAGTTTGCAATACATTTGAAAGGAAACAAAAAAACTTTATTATACGTGACATTGGACTTTCTGTAACTCAACATTTACAGCATTATTTCCCCTCCCCTCCACAGTGGACAGAACTAATTCCAGATTCAGTTCTTTCCAATGTGTCCCATAGTATCAGTTACTGCATGTTTTCTGATATACGTATGGAGAATGAAGGATGAGAAATGTCAAGCCCAGGGCCAGGAAGTACAACATATACCAGAGAAAGTATGATAATAATACTAAGGAAATAAGACTCAAAAATCAGGAAGAGATGTGAGGCCAAAATCACATACAGAAGATCAGATTACATCACATTAGAGCTTTTATGACTCAGTTTGGAGTCAATGTTCTAGTGATGTACCTAGAGATACTAAGAACTATATAGATAGTATTCTCATGATGTTTGCTGGTGTCATCTTTTAAGTACTAAAGGAATTTCATCCCTTTAAACTGGAAAGCAGAAGACACAAATAATCATCCAACTTTTGAATTATTCTGCTGTAAGAGATGGATTGATTTATTTATATTTATATATTTGTCAGGCTCAGGAAACAAATTTGGTTTAGTCTACTGGCTCCTACATTCTCATTTACCAATAGGTTGTTAATGATTGGATTATGAAAAGGCTGACAAAAATCTTAGAAAATATTAATAGACTTCAGATAAACATACAGGAGACAGCACCACACCACCCACCTCCTCCTCAGCTTCGATTTAAAAATACTTACAATGCTTAAAAAAAAAACAAAACACATTAAAGTTGTAGACCAATTATTAAGCATACAGGAACATGATATTCATATACCATTAAAATAAATCTTTTAAGACCTGTTTTCCATCTCAGTCTAAATCAGGGGTCCTTAATGAACTAACCTCAAAGCTCCGTGCATGCATAATAACTTTCTATGTGTTCCCTTTAATTCTTCCTTACCTGAACGACTTCATTACAATAGAAAACACATTAATATTGCCTTAGGAATTAAATGAATTAAACACTGATAATCAGCTACATTTATCACGTAATTTAATTTGCTTTTTTGTATATTAGCTTTTACATACAGAATCAGGTATCTCAGGATCCCTAATATATAAAGGACCTGCATAAGAAAAAAACATTTGATGATATGCATACAATCACAGCCGCAATAATTGGACCATAATTAGACAAGAGATGAGGGAATATATCCTCATTTATAAATGATTATATAAAGAGAAAACATGGGTTAAGTAACATAACAACATTATTTTTATATAAACTATCTCAAGTCCTTAAAAGTTTAAGTTTAAAAAAGCAGGTCAAGGTGAAGAAATACATTTGTAGTTTAAATGTCCATATGTGCTCCTTTGGGTGCTTTTGCCTTAGATTTTGCTTCCTTTGAAATCTTTCCATTTTGACATTGAGTAAATCTGGCTACTGTAGAAACACCATCCACAAATTTGGTTTTGAAAAGAACGTTTGCATTGTTGAACATACCTTCTTTTAGTGACACCACAATGAACTTAAAGAAAAAAGAAAAAAAGCATAAAAAACTTTTGTGATATATTTAACGTTTACTCCTTTATACTGGGGACAAGAATTGTTTGGAGATCATTTTGCTTTTCCTATTTTTTTAAACAGTTATATTAGGTACCTGAATGAATGCTAGCTTTCCATATTGTTTTAGAAATCTCTTAATTTTACTTTGAATCCTTTGTTACCCAGTTTTACTACTTCCTGGTGGTTGACTGCTTGTTGCTATCTTTTGTAGCTGGCATTCAGTTTTGCAGCTAACTACAGCTGCTCCAGTGAAATATTTTTTCTTATATATTTTAATAATGTTAGAGGTTTCAAGTTCCTATAGCACACCACTAGCCCAAATGGAACTTTTGAATACTTAGGCACCCCCTACCCCCCAGTTCAATGTTATTTGCCAAAACACTGCTATAATAAATACTCAATCCATGGTAACTATGAGTGAAGTCCCAAGAGTTGTCCGATGCATAATTTATGCAAACATATTTGGCAGCCTCAGCTCCTAAAGCAATAGTGCAATAAAAATAAACTGTTCTTAGCTTCAAGAGGCTTTCTTCTACTTTTTGGCCATAGAAATTAAATTCTCCCATCAAGTGTCATGTGATTTTCCAATACCTGAGTTAAATATTCCTGAGACAGTTTTGACTGTACAACTTTATGGCAGCTAACTAGAAAAACAATAATATTAACCCTAAATCAATTCTGTATTATGACTAAATTGGAATCTCCCTCATGCTACAACTAACATTTTTAATGCCTAGCTCTTTCTTTAAAAGGAATAGTGAACCTTTTTCCCTTCTATGCCTATTAAATAAGGGTATATTTAAATAGATACACAATGCTTTAGTATTTATCAGCCCTAAATATCTTACTAACATTTGACTACTACTAAAGAACAGTTTTTAGGAGACATTCTTTTCTGGTTCTTACCTGAGAATGTGTGAAATGAGTACGCAGCATCTGTCCAATATTTTGGGTATGAGAAAGATCCAAGGCTGCATCTACCTCATCAAGGATATAAATTGGAGCAGGTTTGAAGAGGAGCATGGACAGTATTAATGACAAGGCCACTAAAGACCTAAGAAAAGATCAGTGGAAGAAAAGCCATAAAAAATTGATCTTATCATTTATCAAAAACACTGAAGCAGATATGTGATCCTATTATTGTGAATACAGCAGATTTATGTGAAAGGTAGTCATTTAAAAAAAATAATCTTGAGTTTCAAACTTTAACACTTTTGTTGTATTAAAATATTTGATTTTAGCTTTCCATTTTTCCTCTTTTCAGAAGCATGCTAGTTTCATAAGACAATTTTAATACTGTCATATTACATTTGGTACCTATTCTTAAGATCATCTTAGTTTTAAAAGTTCTTTTTCTTTTCCTTCCCCATTTCGCTTATTAGAGCACAGGTAGCAGGTGACTAAGGGCTATGTAATTATTTAAGACAACAGCTATTGTCTTGGTAACAGTAACTGGGTTAGATGTCATTTTTCAAACTTTCATAATGTACACTTATGTAAGCATGCATATACAGACAGACACACACTCTCTATATAGTTTTGGCACCACTGCGAGGAAGTTGTACAGATGATGGCCCATTAGTCTAAGTACATCACTGTCAGAAGTTCAAACAAGCTTACGTAAAATTTATAGTTACACAGCATATTTTCAGTTCTCTTCTAGCTCACTGCAGTTCATTCTAATCTGGTACGAAGCATCATACTTCTATTTTTTTCTTAAAAATATATAATTCATAAAAAGTCTTGATACAAAATATTTATAAATACTTCATATTAGACTAAAAATTAGAGTAACATTTTTAATATTCTGTAACTAACTTCAAGTATCTCCTGGCATATATAGTACGAGAATAGGCAACTCAATGCTTGCTGCATTGTTTTCTTTTTGAGACAGAATCTTGCTCTGTCACCCAGGCTGGAATGCAGTGGCATGATCTCAGCTCACTGCAACCTCCACTTCCTGGGTTCAAGTGATTATCTCACCTCAGCCTCCTGAATAGCTGGGATTACAAGTGCCTGCCACCACGCCTGGCTAATTTTTGTAGTTATAGTAGAGACGGGGTTTCACCATGTTGGCCAGGCTGATCTTGAACTCCTGACCTCAAATGATCCATCTACCTCAGCCTCTCAAAGTGCTGGGATTACAGGCGTGAGCCACTGTACCCAGCCCAAGGCTTGCTGCATTGTAATACAGGTATTTATTAAAAAATATGTAAGTAGGGAAAAAAATGTGTGCACAAGTACAGAAAAAAAGAATCCTAGCCAAGAAAAAAAAAAAAAAAAAAAAAAGAATAAAACAGTATAATCAAAACCAATCACACTGAGACTGTTAATCACCTCTATAAATGGGAGCTAAGGTCATTAAGCCAACCTAAAATTATGTTTCATTGTCTTTCTCTGTGATGAGTGTCTTAAGTATTGAATTTTAAACTTAAAATCTGCTATGCTGGAGGGTTTAACTGCCATGCTGTATAGTGGTATAACTATAAATAACTTTATAGCATCTTAATTATGGAAGTAATTTATAGGTCCCAATAAGAAGAGAAGCATACATTTTTTATTTTCTTCAAAACATTTTCTAGGGATTGGCAAATACAGCTAAAGATATTAGGATCTAAACTATAAAATTCAATTTTGATGAACATGCAGCAGGAGCTGTCTTTTCGATTCTTAAATTATTTACAAACCTTATCTATCGTAAATATATAAGTAAAATATATATCTACTCATAAAAATGATAAAAGGGGTTATAAGAAAAATTAACAGGTTTCAATATTTTCTATGTACATAAAAAAGGGTTACATGATGGTATTACAGGACATAAACAATTCAAGGTTTATGGATTATATATCCTGCAGGAGCAAAAAAATTATTAAACACTAATTTCAATTATGTGAATATTCACAACCTCCTTTCAGAAGGTTTTAATTGGCTATCTGCAGGTAAGGAGTGAGGACATATGACCTTTTGGGTTTCTGTCACTATGCTGATTTTCTGAATCACTGTGTAAGGCTGGGTGAAAAGTGCCCGGAACTCCAAATCCACACTATTTTCCAACACTCTTCCTTTATACAGATCCAAGGTTCCAGTAGTATGGTTCTGCTAAATCAAATCCTTTCAGCTTTTGTTTCTGTCTGAAAAGTATTCATATTGTCTTCAATTTGAAGAATATTTCTGTTAGAGATGCAATTTTAAGTAAGTTGATAGGTTTTACTTTCAACACTCTACGGATGTTCCAGACTTCTGGCTTGCATAGTGTTTAACAAGAAGTCTCAAGTCATTTCTATTTTTGTTCACTGGTGTATAATATGTCTTTTTCTCTAGCTACTTTTAGGATTTTCCGCCTAATCACTGGTTTTCAACACTTTTGTATGTTTCTGTTTATCCTTGAGGTTAAAAGAACTCAATTCTGTGGGTTTACAGAATTCATCAAATCTGGAAAATATGGAGCTATAATTTCTTCAAGTATTTTTCCATCTTCCCTGTTCCTCTCCTTTGGAACTCCAATTACTTGTACATTAGACAGCTTCCCATAGGACACTGAAGCTGTTTTTTTCCCCTGTTTTTTATTTCTCAGTGTAGCTTGAATACATTGTTTTATTGCTGTGTCTTGAAATTTACTCATCTTCCTTTTACAGCTGTTAATCTCATGCAATGAACCTTTCTTTTTTTAATCTCCGGAAGGTCCACTTAATTTTTTTTAGTAGCTTCTATTTCCCTCAGTATGCTCATGTTTTATTGTAATTCTTGAAAATTAATGTTAACTCTAACTTCCTTGTTTCCTACTTTGATCATCTGTCATTTCATAGTCTTGTTTCTACTCACTGATTTTTTTAATTTAATTTTTCATTACATGCTGGACATTGTGGTTATGTTGTTTAATATCTCAATTTTTTTTTTAAACTTTCTTGAAAGAACGTTGGCCTTTATTCTGACAAATAAGTAACATGTAGATCAGTTTCTTAGGGTGTGTCTAGATTAGTCTTCAGTTCAGGGACAGTAGAGACCTAATACCAAGGTGTAGCACTCTGGGGCACTGAAAAATTCTAATCTGTCTTTTTAAGTTAGTTAGACCGCTGACCTCTGTTTGGGTTCCCATTCTGCATCTGAAGTCCAAAAACATAGGTGAACATAGGGCTCAGCATTTCTGTTTCATCTTGTCCTGGACTATTCATTTTCTAATATTTGAAAATAGATTTTTTTAAAAAACATTTTGTCTAATTTTCTATGTACTTCTTATTTCTCCTTTGTCACCTGCTATTTAAATCAAATGTTACCAAAATGTTTAGTCTTATATCTGAGGCTCCTTAAATTCTACATGCAAAGGTAGTTAAGCAAATTAAAACAGAAATACAATTGTGAGGTAATGAGATGAATTATAATAAAGTAAGAGGAATTAAAATTCTAATATTGCAAAGTGATTCCTCACCTCTGACCACCACTAAGTTCGGTTAGGTTTTCCTTCCAGGTATTTCCTAAGGCAACCTTGAACTCCAGGCCATCCAAAACAGTTTGACCCTCTGGTGGTGCAAGCATAGCATTAGCACCAGGCAAAAGAGTAGAAAATATAGAGCCAAAGTCCTTGTTCACCTGGATTAAAAAAATTAAAACATCAGCAATGCTTTCCAAGAAGAATCAATTGTTGATATATGTACATGCAACACAGCAGGTCTATTTTGTTGTCTGCTACTCTAACTGAGGGGCTGACAAACTATGGCCCATGTGACAAATCTGGATATGCTCACAAGCAAAAAATATTTAGTATCTGGCCCTCTACAAAAATGAATTCCTGAATCCTGCTGTAATTTCCAGGGGAACTAGAATGTACACCTCTAACTCTACTCCAAAGTTTTGATACTTTGGTAGAACATACTGCAGGAATCATCAAGATACACACAATTGTATCCCATGAGAATAAAAGACAAAATAGAGAAGCAAACAAAAGTCTTTTTGGAATAAAGTCTTCTCTTATAAACTTTTCTTTTTCCTCTTGACTGATAGAATGAGTCTATGGTTACTAAAGGCCTAAGCAGATTAGGGTGAGACCCAGGAGAAAAAGGGGCATGAAATCGAAGGACCAGATCTGTTCAAGGTGTTAAAGGTTTCTTTTCTATATGCCTCATCTCCTAGATGAAGAGGTTAGGCTGGTGAGGGCCAGAAATAGGATTAGATCCCAAGAGAAAAGAAAGCTGTTTGGCCTGCCCCCGTTTTGCCACAGAAGGAGACAGAGATTTAGGACCAAAAACCTAGCTTCTAATAGGGTTAACTAACTTTTGTTCACATGCACTTGATTGATGATTTGGGAATTTGGCCATCTGTCTTAAAAGACATGACTAATATTCTTAGTGCAGCAGTCAAACTTGAAAGGGTAACACACACACATACACAAGGACTTGACAGCCAAGTTCTCTAGAGAAATCTCCAAATTCAAATGCAGGTACACAAAATTCAAATGTAAATACAATTTTTAATGAATATTAACAGTAACAAGAAAATCTCAGACTCAAGCAGTACTACTAAATATAGATTTACTCAGCAACACACATTTTAAGAGCAATCCCACACCTGCTGAATAATATCCTACAAAGTGGAAGCAGGTTCTAAGCCAAGTGGGGGAGCGGCAGCTCAGGACCAAGAGACAGGAATGCTCCTAAACCTGAACATAACCGTGGACCCAGTGTGAAACTTCCTCTAAAAGAGAATGGACAGAGAAGAATAGAGCCCTATGCTATATAGAAAATAAGTAATATTCATAGATTGATATATAAAGACAAAATAAAATAGAATTCTGCAAGTCTGTCGAGGCTAAGAAGGAAACAAGGAAGAAACAAAAAAAGCCTAGAATACTCTGGCTTTGTCACTTAGTCAGTCAAGTCTGCCTGAAGCCAGAGGGAAGAATATAACGCTGATGATAACCGTACCTACTTCACTAGGTTACTGTGAAGATTAGATGAGAAAATTAATTTGAGAATAGTGACTAGAATGTAATAAGCACTGAATAAATGTTACTTGCTTTGGAAGAACTGTGGTTACTGGGGAAGAGCAGGTTATGCGCAGACAATAGACTCTGATTTGTACTAAGTCCAGGAACCCTGGCGGGAAAGAAGGAAAAAACCTCTAAGATCTAGTGTTAAATCGACATGCTGTACAACAATAACAGGGTCAGCCTTTTGCTTCCATTTTTAAAGGGGACAAATACTACAGGGAATGGAGCATTGAAAATAAGGCTTAGAGAAGAAAAAAAACAAGGTGACTAAAAGAGATAATTGTGCTGCATTATTGAAGATAAACTTCCTACAGAATTACAAAGAGAAAAAGAGGCAATGTGCCCAATTAAAACCCAGAAGGCACAAGAGTCTTTTACTATGGTAAAAATGGAAAAACTTCTGCATGAGAGGCTAAGGAATTATCCTACAGGAGACAGATATATGAAGTCAGGGAAGAGGAAGTAAAGAAGCCTGAGATCTGCCCATGTTGTCATAATACAAAAATGGAATTGGGATTTTGTTGAGTAAGCATCTTGTAAAAGAGAATACTAAACTTGCCTTGTTTATTGTCCAGTTTCTAGAGGTACAAGAACGTCTGCATCGGGTGGCAATCAAGTCGAAAAAGAAAAAATGCATTTAAAAAGTCTGAGGTTTTAATTAAGGTGTGAACATGTGCCTCACTCAAACAAAGATCAGCCATTTCAGATTTCTCACTGAGTAAAAATGCCCTGATAATATATTTTTATCCTTGCCACTTCAAGTAAAACAAAACAATATTCTGGGGTTCAAATACCTTTTGCCATGCAATATTTAGGGCTTGGTTTTTCTTCTGGTCAAGGTCTTCTATAGTTGTAAGAATTTTGGATTTGTCATTTTCCACAATTCTCTTCTTCTTCATCAAGTCATTATACTGTGAGAATGAAAACATAATTAACTGAAAATATAAAATCACTATTCTGGAATTCAGTCAGAAATAAACAGGTTTCATTGTTTTTATATTATGATATATACATTCCTATTACCAAAAAGATATAATGCACTAAGAGTTATACATACTCTTGTAATATATACTATATATATGCTATATGTGCGTGTATATATACACACTCTTAAAAAATTAGTAAAATCATCCATATATATATATATATATATATATATATAACAAAATTAAATTGCTAGAACCAAGAATTTAGAAGACAAGTTCTTAAAATATTTTGACTCCACTAATACTTCCTTATCTCCTTAGCACCCAAGTCAAAAAAAAAAAAAAAAGTGTTATATATAAACTTAAGTAGCCCTGAAAGCTCTCATCTTAACATCAGCCTTAGCAGTGACGTGAACAAAATTTTGATCCTTCACCATGATGAGAGTCCTACATAAATAGAACCTTATTGTTGTTTTTATTTTAGGTTCTGGAATACATGTGCAGAATGTGCAGATTTGTTACATACAAATAAATACATGTGCCATGATGGTTTGCTGCACCCATCAATCCATAATCTAAGTTTTAAGCCCTGAATGTATGAGGATAAAGAGATTTGGACTTCATTTATCCCTCGATTGTATGGCATTAAACTGCTCCCCAGGTTCTGGCCATCTGGTCCTTGATAGCTCCTTTGAACGTAATTAACTCACTATTGTCTTATGGCCCCTGCACTGTTCTCCCTTCCTGAATGCTCTTTCTCTATATCTGACTTAACGGTTCCCTGAAATTTCAGCTCAAATAGTACCACTTTAGAGTAGTCTTCCTTTGAGCAAGGCTGTAGAGGGGTAATCATACCACCAACAGCAGTGGGACTTACTAACACATTTCTCTTCAAAGCCCTATATTTCAAGGAGGCTTCATATTTACCTTGAACATCTCTAGCCTGCCCTGCTGTCTTCCTTGCTGTCCCTCTCCTTTATGGCCACACTCCCCAAGCCTCCTCTCAACATTTTTACCTTATTTTTGCGTGAAAATCCATGTAATTGCTTACGTAGACGGATACAAAACACAAGAAAAAAATAAAAGCCCATCTGCTGATCAACAATACAGGCTTCCCCTCTGCTAAAGAGATGGGAGTTGATAAATTATTTTGAAAAAAATACTAGACTCAGGTCTCATTAATAGAAGTAAACAAGTAAAAGTGAACAAGTTTCATCATGTTGTGCAGATCAAATTCAGACCAAACTTTTCCTTCCACAAATATGCCACATATTGCAAAGCTTTAATGTAGAAGTGAAAACCAGCAGGAACATTTTAGAGAGAGATCACAACACCTGCATGATTCATCTGTTTGGTATCTAACATAATCTAGACTCTTCATGCATATTCATGCCAATAACAGTTAAAAAAATGTTATGGTAAAATTCTTAAAAGTAATTGTGCTCTTATTATCAGTGTTGCAGATGAATTTTTTACTCTATGATTTGCAAATTCAAACAGAATTCTGCAAAATTAAGGAAGGTAAGGAACATTAATATAAAATTACTAAGCGAGCTATTTCTTATGGTTATCTTAAGAGTAGGGAGTGCTTCCTCTGCTGGGTCTTTCTAGTGATAGAAGTTTATAACTAGATGACAGTAAATTCTCTTCCCAGACTCATAGTTTTGTCAGGTTAGGGGAGATGAATAACATTATCAAGTAAATGAGAGCATTAAAACTGAGAAAAGGCTGCGGGATTTACAGATTAGTGAAACAATATTTATGTATATAATGGATTTAGTCATTACTTATATAATAGTTTCAGTAGACAGTAGAGTCAAGAGAAAGCAGTTCTGGAATGACTGGTGACTAGGCAAACAGCAGCGTACCCTATAACAGCAGCGTATCCTATTCATGGATTTTCAATGCAAGTAAAAGAAATGATAGAAATGTAAGGAGTTAGTTAGCAAGATTCAAAAATGTCTGACAAAGAACAAAAGCCAGCGGAAAAGTCATTCCAGGTGTAAAAGAATGTAAAAACAACTAATGACACAAGAGTAACAAGAAAAAAATGACAAAAAGAGAAAAAAAAAGCAGAAAGAAAAGTATCAAGGACATCTGCAAAAGGTTAACTCTAGTAATTGCTATCAATGCTAGTCATGTCCTAATGTGGCCAGATATTCATAGGAAATTGACTCACCCGCTCTTCAGCTTCCGTCAGTACATTCATAGCTCTCATATTGACATTTCTTCCTAGTTTCTCCTTCATTTCTTGCAACTTCTGAAGTCTTTGACCAGCTTCTTTAGGGTTGTTAGTTTTGAAATCATAGGCAGTATTGGGTTGGCCAAAGAGGTGTCTCTCTGTATTAATCCAGTCATAATCTTTCAACATTTTGGATACCTAGCCACATATAAAAATAGATGGAGATCAGATCTATGAAAGTTTACAAAGCAATATATATAAAGCAGTTTCTTAAATATTTAATACTTTTGAATCAAATACTGAAGAGAAAGAACCCTCAATGACTCATTTTTAAAAATGAGTTTCATTACTGACAGGAATAAAGATGAATATTTTTACCTGGAGCACAGATTACAGAAACAAGAGATTGTATAGCAAAAGATCTTCCTATTACTTTGCATTAGAAAAGTCAACTCACAGAGAAATTTTTACAAAGTACATGCAAAGCACCTCCATTAGAGTGAAACATAAGTCAGATAGAACTCCTTTAGAACTTACCAAATTCCATCTACTGCTTCAAAAACACAACTTGTGAGAAGTTAAAATTCTTTTCATACTTAAGTCATAGATTTGGTAAAATTAAGGAAACTAACGCTGACTGAGACCTAATAATTTTTGTCTCAGAACTATATTCTAAGAAACTGCCCTAAACCTGGACTCTGTCCCTGCTCCCACCCTTCTGAAAAAGGCACAGTATAATACTTTTTCATGTAATACAACTGATCATACAGTTCAAATTATAGTGCTTAAAGAATACTTTATTCTACTAGAATTATGATTCATTCTCACTGGCAGAATCCAATCTTTGTTAATTTGTTAACCTGTTTTAATTCCATGGATATGGTCTCACCTGTAGGCCCCAAAATAAAATTATCATTTCTAGTGTATCTTCCCCTTTTGACCTGTAAGCTCTCTGAGAGCATTCTGTATAGTTTGCTCATCCTTATACTGTCAGTGCCTGGCACAGTATCTGATACTAGCAGGTACGCAATAAATCTTTGATTAATAATGTTTTTCAGAGAATCATTGACTTCTTAGCAGCCCCACTTGCAAGTCTCTCCTTTTACTCTTTCAATTGTAAATAAAATCTCCTAGCAATCACCAGTACTAGCATTTTCAATGACCAAAAACTATTAGCAGTAACATTGGCGTTGGCAATATTTCAGTCAGTCCACTATCACTAAGCTAATGGGAAATCAATAGTAATAAAGTGGGAGATTATAATGTAGCCATAAAAAACGTTTTTTAAACCAAGTTCCACGATTCTTTCAGAAAAGTGAGAGACTGCTTTGTATGGTTCTTGATCTTTCTGAAGTTAAAGTTCATGTATTTTTAGGATGCTAAAAAAAATCCTGGACATAAGAAAACATGCTGGATGAATTATTAATACCATGTGAATGCAGCTTCTCAACCAAGCAATGAATTTCTGCAAATGCACGTGTTCTCTTTAAAGCACTAAAGTAAACGCGCTGTGATACATCAAAGCAAGCAAGCATGGGATAACCTCGAAAACATAACTGCTTGGCTAAACATCAGATTTTTTTTTATAAAGTTGCAAATACTGACAGCAGTGACACTCAAAGACATCTGGAAGCCAATTCAGTCCTTTTTCAGGTTACCTGTATATACAACTCTGTGAGTTCTTTAAATTCAATTTGAAACAAGGTATAGAATCATTACTAGCACATCAGTAATTAGTTCTATCAACATTTGGTGGTGAAAAGTTATTTCTATGGGAGACCACCAAACATTTGGTAAATACACCTTGTAGATGGGAACAAATAATTAAAATGAAATCTAAAAACAAAACATTTGTGCCATTTGTTGAAATTTGGCATTGTTGAAAAGCAGTTAAGAGCTGCAAGCTCAAATTTATGTCAAGCTGTAATTCTGCCATGTATATTTATAGAGTTCTCCATCAAGCAGTTTTCTAAAATTTTTCAAGAGCTCAGAAACAAAAATTTGATTAAGTATAAAAAATGAACACAAACGTGCCTTTGCAGCGCCATCTTCAGCCTCCCGTTTATGTTTGCTGATGTTGTGGTCTAATTCCTTAATTTTAAGCTGAGAATCATTGTTTTGCTCCTTGTGCTTTGCCACTTCCATGTATTTAGCTTTAATTACAGTGTCTTGGGCTGTTATCACCTCTTTTTGCTTGGTCACCTCTTCTTGGGCTTTATTTACTGACTCCTGAAACAAAAAATTAAAATATGTGGTGAGGTAACATGTAAATATTTTTAATTTACTAAAAAACTATCTGGCAGATCCCTAGGCAAGATGGCAATGTGATTACAGGCAGAGAGATGATCACCTAATCCTCTAAATATCACCATTAAAAGGACTAATGAATTAAGAGAGAAGAAAGATTACCTCTGGAAAAAGGGGTTGGGGTACACAGTGTTTATGCTGGGAATTAGAGCATTTCTGCCTGATGTAGACAGAATCAACTGGGTGAGGAATAAGAGGGACTGCTAGAAGCTGACTGACCTATGTGACTCCAAAAGTGGCAATTCTGGATGAGTGTGCCTCATTCTCTCATCATGACGAGCGAAAAGACTGAGAACACTAAAGTCAAACATCTTAAGCTAACGTTTCATAAAAAGATTAGCATTTTCGAATTCTCCAATTCAATAAATAAATCCTACCTTATTTTTAGCCACCTCAGCTGCCATTACTTCAATCTGACTTTCATAGGATTTGATAGCTTCATTTACAGCTTCAAGCTGTTGCTTGTAAGAGGTATGTTCTCTCTTGAGCTCTTCCAGTTCCAGAGTGATAGCTTCAACTTCCTATAAAAAACACAGTACTTGGGTATTCACACGGGTTATTGACTACTAAAAAGCAAATATGTACAGGAAAATTAAATTAGTAATACTCTTATACAAGTAAGACCCACAGCTTTGTTACTACTCTGCTACCAAAGGTACAGGTTAAGCTGCTTTCCCAGGAAGAGGAAGTTTATTTTCCTATATTAAAAAGACAAAAGTATGTGTAATTTTTATAAGTTCAAAGAACTCTGCATAAATTATTCCTTTATCTTTATTCCTACAGGGAAAACAATGTAAAATTCTATGTAACAGATGAATTAGTGGAAATAAAGCTTTTTTAAAAACAAAATTGTTCAATGTGTAAAAAGTTTTTCAATATTCTTCTTTCCCACTATAGCCTTCAGTTCATTACAACAGCAGTCCCCAACCTTTTTGGCACCAGGGACCAGATGTGTGGAAGATGATTTTTCCATATGGCAGGAGCAGGCAGAGAATATGGTTTTGGGATAAAACCACCCCATCTCCGATCATCAGGCATTAGATTCTCATAAGGAATGAGCAACCTCGATCCCTTCCTTGCGTGCACAGTTCTCAAAAGGGTCTACACTCCTATGAGAATCTAATGTCGCTGATCTGACAGGAGGTAGAGCTCAGGTGGTAATCCTCATTCACCACACATCTCACCCCGTTATTGGTCTGTGGCCTGGTGGCTGGGGACCCCTGCATTAGAAAAATATTTTGTGAAGCTATTTAATGACAAGAGTCTTAGAGTGGGCTAAAAAAAAAAATGTGAGGAAAACATATTTAGGTGAAATTGCATAAAACAGTGATTCCAAGTAGCCTTTGGAGAAAAAAACCTACGTTCAAATTCCAGCTTTGTCATTATCTAAAAGATATAATAAAGTATCATCAGTTTACAACTGAACAACACTTTGTAAATATAACATGCTTTGTCTTACATCATGCTCTTACAGTGCACATTCAATTAGGTGCTTACCAAATAAAAATGTCAACTTGCTGAATCTCTGATATGACATCTATAACATCAAATAATCCACTCCTGAAGAAAGGCCATCCACTCTTGAAGGAAGCATTTACCAACTGTCAACTTTGCCCTTTCCTTAAAATTAGCATTCCCTACTCACAACTATGAAACACTCAACTGCAGGGTTTTCAGAAAAAAATACGGATTAAATATCCCTTATTCAAAATGCATAGGACCGGAAGTGTTTCAGACTTCAGAGTTTTTATTTTGGAATATTTGCATTACACTGACTAGTTGAGTATTCCAAATCCAATCTGCTCCAATGTGCATTTCCTTTGAGCCTCAGGGTAACACTCAAAAAGTTTCTAACTGCTGTATTTCGGATTTGAGATGCTCATACTGTGTATTCCTTTGACTTTTAAGAAGCGTAATTTGTTTCCAAAGAAGGCTGCTTTCTTTTAGATTTTGAAATTAATTCTGAGGAATAAGGTCAACCAATGATCCTCTACCACTGTCAGCTCTATGTTGACTTTAAAAGGTTGGTTCAATTTCAAAAGTAAGTTATTACCTGCTGTTTTTCTTTCATTTTCTTGCTAGATGCATCTGCCTTTGTTTTGGCACAATCCAGTTTCTTTTGAGCATCCTTCAGTTCTCGCTCTCTCTCAGCTTCTGCATTTTTCATTTTATTCTCCAGTACTTCATATTTTTCTTCTGCTTTTTTCTGGATTTCTTTAGTGTTTTTCAAAGTCTCCTCACTTTCCTCTGCATCAAAAAGTAGGCAAATGTGGCTAAATTAACATTTATAGGTGAAGAAGGTTTACAAATTCAAGTTTTAATAGAAGAAAAGGTTTGGAAAATTACAGGCTAGAATTTAATTAATGATCCCAATGATATTCTAGAAATGGTATAATGAAACACAGATCCTACCTAAAAGCCATACTTGAATATTCTAAAGATGTGTAACAGAATAATTTTGCTTTGGAATTAAACTTTACCTACAACTTTCCTTTTACAAAGGTATTGAAGCAACTTATTTAAAAAAGAAAAAAAATTACAGATCCTATTTTTAACACATTTATATGCTTCCTAAAACCAGAACAGTCTAACTATGGTGTTTTTCCTATAGTTGCCAGAAAGAGTATAATTTCATAAACAAGCTTACTTTGTGTTCTTTGCCTGTTTTATTCAGGGAACTTCTCATTACAGTTGACAAATAATGTAACAGTATGTCTAGGATACAGCAAAGGAAGAATATCCACAAATTTGTGAAAGAAAAAAATAAAAGAGCAATACTGAATGAACACGTTGCTGTAACAACTGATGTATATTGTGAGTGTTAGGACCCAGGTGCAAATATAACCTCGGAAGTCATTACTGAACAATTTCTTACGCTACTTTTCGTTGCAGAAAATATTATTAAAATATTAATGGAGAAGCAGGTGTGTGGATATTGCCTTAATGAATGACAAAAATTAAAACTACCATATACAATTAAATACTAAGGAAAACATAAAAGCTGTCTTCTTAAAATGAACAATGAACATTAAAAATTTTTGTGTAACAAAAATACTATAAATACAAACACAACTAAGAGACCAGTACATAAGTCAAAAAAGATATTAGTAGGATATCTGCAATGCAATAACCTACAAGAAACTAGGACTCTTAAGAATGAGAACAATGGGAAAAAAATCATGGACAACCCATGAGCAAAAGAAATAAATAGAAAATTCACAGAAGTAGAAACCCAAAGGTCCAACAAACATACAAAAAAGATCTCAAATTTCATCAGCCATTAGAGAAATGCAAATTAAATGCGAATGCATGCTATCTTTTCACAACCAGCAAATTTGGAAAATTTTAAAAGTCTGGAGAGAAAGGAACTTGGAGAAATGAAAACTTTCATATGCCACTAATGGAAATGAATATTGGCTAAAAAAGAATGAATACTGGTAAAAATAAACAGACCTTTGACAATATATAATAAAGATGAAAATGACTATACCTGAAGACCTAGAAATCCCATAACTGGATCTCCCCTAAAGAAACTTTATCATATGTGTCTTAAACATAACACAGGTATAGATGATACCTAAAGTAAGGTAAAAGGAATAAAACCAGAGATTAAGCAGGGGTTTTTTTCATCTTACCAATGGTTTTTTTAAGGGCATCTAATTCTTCTTGTTGCTTGTGATAGGAGCTTTGCTGGAGCTTGGTTTGTAATAAATCTGCCTCTTCAGTTTTCATCTCCCACTGCTGTTTTAGTTGACGATACCTTACAAAACCAGAAACATGTAAGAAATGACTGTAATGTTTCTGGTAATTGAGAAATACATTCAAACTTCAGACTCTTACCTAAAATAAACTCACATACATTATAAACAATCTAAGATACTACTGGTTACAGGAATAATTTTGATGACTTTCAAGTTTCTGAGGCACCAATTCAAATTTAGATATGGTCACTGAAGGTAAACAACTCTAACTGACCAAAATCCATAATAACTATTCATAGAAAACACTAAAAATTTTTAATAGCTAGGTTTCCTTAAAAATAATCTCTTGCTAACTAAATCAAAACAAAACACGTCAACTACTCGCCACGAAAAATGGATGAATTACAACAAATACAATTTCAAAAATTTAGTTATCTATTTATTAACCTCATTTTCTAACGTTAAAAATGACAATAATGTTCCCTATTTTTAGTGTAAGAAAATAGTTTGGAACTTAGTTGTTTAAAACACACTTTCTTGAAAACTTTGTAATTCTATCCCAGTTCTTGGCTGCTTAGTCACTTCTTTGAAAGGTATTTAGCAAATTCAGTTGCAGTGAAATTTCAAGTTAATATAAATTCACAAAGTACCTTGTCACTGGAAATTCATGTTTGGGGGAAAAAAGGACAAAACTTATAAAATATAAATACTACCTTGAATTTTCTTGCCTGAAGCTGTACTTCACAGTACTTAATAATTTTAACTTCAAGTTGATTTAAAAATGTGGAGTGTAGAAATATTTTTTAAAAAAGATATTACTTTCCTGACATGATGTGAAACAATGGCTTTAGCTGATCCTTCCACCATTCTCATATTTTTCAAAATCTATTTTCCTTCCTTGACCTCAGTGTCACAATTAGCAAGGAAGCCAATTCTGCGGAATAAATGATCCAATACTACTGAACAAAATTAACAGTTCTAAGCCGAAATGTTGACTACAAACTCATCACCTTGCTAGAATTTAGACATTTCACAGAAAAATTCTGTTGTACTCTTCTCACAGTAAAATGCATTTACTCTATGGTTAATTTATATTCATGAAGGTAAAATGTGGGCCTTTACATGCATGTGATGTCTGAAAGTAAACAGGGTGGATCACTTGAGGCCAGGAGTTTGAGACCAGCCTCGCCAACATGGCAAAACTGTCTCTACTAAGAATACAAAAATTAGTTGGGTATGGTGGCACATGCCTGTAATCCCAGCTACTTGAGTGGCTGAGGCAGGAGAATCCTTGAGCCCAAGAGGCAGAGGTAGCAGTGAGCTGAGATCGGGCTACTGTACTCCAGCCTGGGTGACAGAGTGAGACTCTTGTCTCAAAAAAAAAAGAAAGAAAAATTCTGATTTGATTTATATCTTTGAATGGCCATCCTGACTATGAAAATCTCGTCCATAGTGTCCCCAGAAGTCTTGGTGCCATTTTAAGCTTTCATAACTACAGAAATTCAATTCTAAAAATACACCCAAAAATAATCACTTCAAAATGTATTTAGATTTAAACTTTATTTACGATTGGGAATTCTGAATAAAATCTTTTTAATCAGTTCCTATTTGTCATCTTCAGAGAGACTGAAAAATAATTACAATTTAATTTTTTTTTTTGAGACCGGGTCTCACTCTGTCCCCAAAGATGATGGAGTGCAGTGGCACAATTTCAGGTCACTGCAACCTCGAAGTGCAGGGCTCCAGCAATCCACCCACATCAGCCTCCTGAAAAGCTGAGACCACAAGCACATGCCACCACACCTGGCTAACTTTTTAATATTTTTTACAGAGACATGGTTTCTCCATGATACCCAGGCTGGTCTTGAACTCCTGAAGCTCGTTATCCACCCACCTCAGCCTTCCAAAGTGCTGGGATTACAGGTGTGCACCACCAGGCCTGGCCAAACTTTCAGACAATGCACTTTGTTAAGTTTGTAGCTTTTATAACTCATGAAGCTTTTAATTCAAGTGTGGACTATTCTCCCGGATAACCACAGAGCCAGTCACTCACTCTTTCGTGTGTTTACTCAACAATTATGTCCTTTGTGAGGCTTTTCTTGGCCACCCAATATAAAATTTCAACATAAAATTTTGCCCTAGATAGTTCCTATCTCATTTCCTGATTTACATTTTTCTTAGAATTAGCTAACATGTTTTACAAATTTATCTTTCTTTATTGTCTGTTTCTCCAACAATAAAAAACTAGATGAAGGCAGAGATATTTGATCCTCAGCCCCTAGAAGAATATGTGGCACACAGGAGGAACTCAATAAATGTTTACTGAGTGACTCAAACGGGTTACATTAGCATGATCCCAATAATGAAAAAACAAAAATACGCCTATACCTCTATTATACAAAATAGAGGTGATGTTCAAAAGTATATACACATATCTTATCCATACCTACACAGAAGAAATACTGCAAGGAAACATGAAAGTTTTAGTGCTGATATTCAACATGAACTTGTTTATCTGCTCACTAGACAACCTAGCAGATCCTTAATACACGTAGAACAGCCACAATGCTATTAAACTTACTTGGGCACCTGATCAATCCTATACTGTATCATATTAATGTCAAATCAAGAAATCAAGTATTCACTGGTATCAGAACCCAGAGTATCTAAGGGTATCTCCACCAACCCTAGCCAAATGCTAGTATATTTCTCAGCAGAAAGAATGGAATATTTCATTGATTTTTTTTTTCATTTCGCTTAAATAGATATAGCTAATTTCATAACAAAGACATCTCTCTTATCAGAAAAAAATAGATAAATAACTAGTAAGTTATCAACTCACAATTTAATCAAATATTTTAAATAAAACCAAAAATACGAGAAAAGTCAGAGGCTGTATTTCTTGAAATAAATTTCCTGTCATCATCTACTATGCAAATCTTTAACAACAAAAAAAAAATTATATACAGTTCTTACTTCTCAGCAGTGTTTTTAAGACCTGCTAATTCCTCCTCTAGAGCCCGCAGCTCATTCTCTTTGATTCTCAGTTCATCCTGAACATCTTTGAGTTCTTGAAACTTGGTTAAAATAGAAGCTGCCTGGGATCGAGCACCTGATAGAGGCAAATTGAAACATGTCCTGCACATTAAGTTACCAGGTATACACTAAACAATAAAAAGTCGTCTTAGAGAATTATACTCAAAATGATTCATCAGTAAATATTTCAGTGAGCTTATGAAGCCACGGAATTCATTCCATCACCTGAACCTTAGAACACAGAGAACTGATAATAGATCCAAGAAGTTGTGGTAGATATTATTTATTCAAAATAACCACTTGTCTACTGGGCCAATCCTCCACCCTATTGACAATGGAGTTGGCTATGTGATTTGCTCTGGCCAATTAAATGAGGAAATGTGTCTCTTCTGAAAGTAAGCTTTAGGAGGCAGTACGTAATTCAACATTTACTTTCCGTTAGCCATGAGAGAAGTATGTTCAAGACAAGGACTACTTTTTCTTCAGACTGAGTCCCAGAATGAGAACAGCACCGAGCAGAAAGGCAACTGATCTGCAGCAGATGCAGCATAAACATGGAATAAATTTGTTGTAAGCTAAGACTGGGGGGCTGTTCCCATGTAATAACCTGATCTAAGTTCTGATACAGTGGAACAAGCAGAGTAAACTGACTGACTTCACATTATGCAACTGTAATTATCTGGCAGTGACAGGTGAGGTATTCTGTTGACAAAGAAATGCTGCAGGTTTGATGGAAGAATGCTAAGGTCAATTAGAAATGATGTTTAAACACTGTAATTAAAATATGGGGTTACTTATTTCCTATCCTCTTAGTAAAAACTTCAAAAGCATCTGAATCAACAAAATCTAAAAAGTTTCTTCTCTTGTAGATATTGAAAAACAATTAGTCTCTTTTTATCTTCCATTTGCAGATACTAGACATTTGACTGTGTACTAGAGAACCTGATACCTGGTCTTGGAATTCATTGAATTGGCTCTTGTTTCCTTGGCCTAAAAAAACATTTAGTCACTTGATACTTCACGTGGCTTTATACTGTCTACTGGGTTAAAAACACAGACTCTGAAATCAGGCTGCAGGGATTCAAATTCTGAGCCTGCCATCCAGTAGTGAGTTATTGAACCACTCAGTATCTTCGTTTCTGCAACTGTATATTGCACATGATAATATGCCTACCTCATCATTGTTACTAAGAATTAATTCTTCTTTAAAGCCCATAGAATAGGGCTTTATAGAATAATAGACATGTTCTATATCTACAATGTCTAATTACCCATTAACCATGTGTGGTTATGGGCTCTTGAAATGTGACTGATACAACCAAGGAAATTTATTTAACTTGATTAAATGTAAACAGAGACTAGTGGCTAGTGACTACTGTATTAGCACAACTGTAGAACACTGTCTGGTATACAGTTAAATATTATTCAGTGTTTCTTATTCTGTTGTCTTGACAAAGATCTGCAAACTCAGTGTGGCAAATATTAGAACGAGAAGAATATGATCACTGTCTAAGAATTCCTTTAGGGCATTAAGGTACCACTTTAAGGGCAGATTTAATTTTTTGTTTTTCTTTTGAGAGGGGCAGTAGCAGCACTGGCAAACACACAAATGAGAAGTTAATGTGTTTCCTGAAGAAGTGGGTAGTTAGGCTAAAAATGTACTTTTAAAAAGCCTCTTCCTGTTTACCACATAGAATTGTGAGGACAAAAGGATATAAAACTTACCTCCACTCAATGTCCCATGAGGATCAAACACATCACCTCCAAGAGTTACAGTTCTAGTCATTATCCTTTTATCAAAGGCCACTTTTTTGGCATTATCCATATTGTCACAAACAAATGTTGTTCCAAAGACAAACTCCATTGCTTTCTGAAGTTCTGGTTTATATTCAACCAGGGAAAGAGCCACATGAACGTTGTCAGGGCCAACCTGTGGGACAAAAACAGATACGCCACAGTACATACTAATTCTCTTCCTTTCAAATGTTATCTTATAAAGCAGTAAGAACTGCTGTAACAGAAATTTAACATTTACCTAGCATTAAAATGATTTCTGAACTTTCTAAAAAGCTATGTAATACTCAAAAGTTTCAGGAAAAATGCAGGTTTAAATACTGAAAGATCTGCTATGTTAAATATTTATTAATAGCTAGTACAAGACATTATGAAAGTTTCTGTCAGTAAGGAGCCATTACCATGTGTCTAAATCCAAAATTGACTGGACAGAACTTCCTTAATTAATACAGTACAGGTTGAGTATCCTTTATCCTAAATGCTTAGAACCAGAAGTGTTTCAGTTTTCAGATTTTGGTATATTTGTATTACACTGGTTGAGCATTCTAAATCCAAAATCCAAAATGCTCCAATGAGCATTTTTTGGGTGTCATCGTTTTGAATTTTAGAAAATTTCAGAGTTCAGATTTTTGGACTTGGGATGCTTAACCTGTAATCCTCAGATCAACACAAGTATATGAAAATGTTGTTTCTATAATCAGTAATTTGGTTTCACAACAGATATATTTTCATACAAATGAAACATGCTAGAGCAGTGGTCTGCCAGTTATAGAATTAAAAACACAACTAATAATTGAGAGAGTAAAAGTTATTTTAAAAAATCCCTCAATCCTTTATTTCGATCACAATGCTTCTTCTCAGCCTTTGTCTATAGAGGATACCTCTGCCCATCATTTTAGAAAAACTAAGCATCTCTTTTAGAGCTTAGTATCAGCAGTGGCAATCACAATGAAAGCAGCTCTATGTAACACATGTTCCGTATTGTTCTTTGATGTGGCAGCTACCATTAAATAGATCTGGCTCAGGGATCTGAGGGCAAAGTATTTTTGCTGTTACTTGAAATCCCAATTTTCTTCTAACGCTGGGACTTGATGTATGGCTGAATTAACTTCCTGAGCCTTCTTGACTTAATGGTGATTTTTCAAGTAAAGGAAATGCCAACCAAAAACACCACTTTTCAATTACACGCACTCATCCTCCCTCTCCTGATAGTATATATATCAACATAACTGTATTTTGAAATCATTTTCATTGAAATCTTCTGAATTTCACTAAGGATATGATATTCAATTAGTTACAAGTGTATTTCTAAGTTTCATAGAAATGTCTTCAACTCATGTACTTGGAGTATCTACTCAATAAAAAATTCTCATTGCAGCTGAATGTTATGACTGACTTCATGTTTTTACAGTATTACACAACTACAATAACTTTCAAATGTATTTCCTTGTACTAATCTATTTTCTTACTAGCAAGCATGTCACTTCACATCAGCGTCAGCAGTTGAATGGGATCTGGGTCACGTGCTATATACCTACACAGGCTGAATGGCAATCTAGAACTCTAATAAAGAAGCATCATTGCAATACTAATGAAGGCCTTCCAAAATGGCTGTCGCTGTGGGCAGTTTAAGTGTGCCTGACATAAAAAGAGACAAAATCCAAAAACCTGGATATTTATCTAGAAGCTCAATTCTAACGTATTTAGGAAACAGAAGTGTAATTTTCACCATCACCTGATAGTCATGTGACTTAAGATTTAAAAAGGACATTCTAATATCACACTTTCAAGTATCAAAGGCAGTTCAAGTCTTTCAACATTTCTATTCTCTCGTTATCTAATTGCACAACCCAACCCATTTTTTTTTAATTTTGTAGTTCTTCATATGATTATGTCCCTCAAAATTAATGCCTTCTAACTTAAATAAAAAACACAGAAGATTAAACATAAACAAGACAAAATAAGACTTACAAGATTCTGAGCAACTCTCAGAGTTTCTGGTGCAATACATCTGGCTGAAATTTTATTGAGTGGAATTATAGTGTATCGACGTTTCAGTTCCCCTCTTTCTAGTAGCTTTTTACCAGTAACCTAAGACACACATTTGAAGTTTAAAAAATACATGTTAAAGATGACAGAAAATTAAAAGAACGAAAATTTAGTAGTCTATAATAAATAAATATTTAGTGCCATTTATCCCAAACCATCAAAGTTAAGATTACATATGCAATGTAGTATCATTTGACCTTGAAAAAGGAGATGCTGCCATTTGTGACAACATGAATAAACCCAGAGGACATGATGCCAAGTGACATAATCAGACAAAGAAAAAAAATACTGTATGACCTCACTTATACATGGAATCTTTAAAAAAAAAAAAATTGAACAAATAAAAATAAGAGTAGAATAGTGGTTATCAGAGATGGGGAAGGAAAGAAAATGGGTAGAAGTAGGTCACAGATCAAAGGGTACATGTTTGCAGTTAGGATAAATAAACCTACCTATTTAGAGATGTAATGTATAGCATGAAGACTATAATAAATAATACTGTATACTGAAAATTTGCTAAGAGTAAACTTCAGGTGCTCTCACAAAGGTGAATGGCTATGTTAATATGCTGGACTAGAGTAATCATTTTACTATGTATATGTACCAGAACATCTTGTTGTGCTTTTTTTTTTTTGTTTTGTTTTGTGTTTTTTGAGACACAGTCTTGCTCTGTTGCCCAGGCTGGAATGCAGAGGTGTGATCTCAGCTTACCGCAATCTCCATCTCCAAGGTTCAATCAATTCTTGTGCCTCAGCCTCCAGAGCTGCTGGGTCTAAAGGTGCACGTCACCGTGCCTGGCTAACTTTTTATTTTCAGTAGAGATGGGGTTTTGCTATGTTGCCCAGGCTGGTCTGAAACTCCTGGGCTCAAATGATCTAGCCACTTCAGCCTCCCAAAGTGCTGGGATTACAGGTGTGAGCCACTGTACCCAGATTTGTTGTACATTTTAAACATACAGAATACAAATTTTTAAAAAAGTAAATTTGGCAATGACTGTAGCACTGACAGGAAGGAGTAAGAGCATTTTACAGTAGGATAAAAAGTGAGAATTGAAATGTAGAATGTTACCTTGATGGAAAGACTGACATTAAAAAGAGGTCATTTATTCCCAGATTATTTTATAAATATATTCAACTTATACAGCAAAGAGACCCAAAAAGTCTAAGATTGTAATATGCATTCTGAGTTCCTGAGTAAGCATGAGACTTCCTATGGAATAGTTATCAAAAGGTTATGAACCAAATAGTTTTACCCTAAAAATGTGTCACCTCAGGGGAGGCCTTAAAACATCAAGAGAGTATTTAATTCTTTTAGCAGCACATGACTTTTCAAATTTTAAATGTTTAAAAATTAAAATCAACTTACTTCTGTGTCTACTACAACATTGTAGAGTCGTTCCCCAGCCACTAATTCTAAAGCTGTGGTTGCAGAAGTATCTTTCACACTAATCAGAGAAGCCACAAGTCCTTTCACACAATTTCTATTCCAATTCTTCTCTGGATCCCTGATATAGAAAAGTTGACAAAAATTAATCTTAGATAAGAAAGTAGAAAAAGTTATACTTTATTCATCAAGAGCTCTTTTGGACAATACCTTAAACTGAAATGAAAGCAGAATCAGCACATGGTTTTAACAAACCAAAAATTTAAAAATATGCCAAATGACTAGCTAGCTGTTGTTTTTAAATCAATCAATAGATATTTCATTATGTTTCAATTTAATAAGAACAACTCTGATGTTCTAATCCCTGTAATACATGATTACTGTAAATATTCCATAAAAAACCCACATAGCAAAACAAATTCTAAGATGAAAACGTGGATATTTAATATTAATGACAGAGTAACTTTAAAGACATTCTGAACTAAGATTAAGTTCCCCTCGTTTTGATTTTATGTTTGGTGGCATCATTAGCCATTAAATTTCACAAGAATTGCCCTGACAACATTTGAAACATTTCAACAAATGTTTAAAGGAAAAATACCAATGACAGAAAAGCAGTTTACAACAAGTTTCATTAAAAAATCTTGATGTCGACAACATTTCAGACTGCTTCCAGCTTAACTAAACATGTCTTGATTACAGAGTTAGACACTGTCTCAAAAGAAAAAAAAGGGAAGTCTTAATTATTACTATATTAAAATTCAAGGCTTTAATCTCTTACTTGTATGCAAATCGAAGATTGGGAAATCTGGCTAATAGAGCTTCATATGTTTCTTTCAATCTACTAATATCACGAGACAGCTGCCTGCGCTTTTCCAAAAGGCTTTCTTCTTTATTTTCTGAAAGATAAATTATAATAAATTAAAACCAAGTTTTAAAAACTCACAGTATACTGTTTTAAGGAAAATATCATCACTACTTCCAAAGCATGCAAAAAATACAAATTTCTGATAAGTATTAAGCATGCTGAACCTTCCAATTTCTATCCAGTGTCAAAAAGACATTATTTCCAACAGCAAATAACACAATTTTCATTCCAAAAACTAACATACAAATTGAATGCCTACTAATGTAGAAATATACAAAAGACATTTCTGAGCTTTCAAATGATTGAAGCAGGAAATTCTCAATACTGAGTTCTCAAAAATTCAAGAGTTATTTTATAATTAGATTTTTTTTTACTATATTTACAAACACTTCTTATACTAATGCTCTTTAATAGGGTAAGAAATGTTTCTTATTTGCTTGTGTTCTTCATTTAAATTAGGTTTTTATAAAAAATCACTACCTCCTCATGATCTGATTATCATGTTTTTAAAGGCAAACCTTCATAATTTAGCTTTTCCATTTCGGCTTCAAGTTTTTCTTTAAGTCTTTTTACAGCTTCTAAAGCTTCTTGATCCTTTCTGTAGCCACTATCCATCTTCTTAACTTCAGCTTGTTTATTCTTTAATTCCTGCTGAGCATGCTTCAACTTCATCTGAGCCTGTTACAGAAAAATGAAACAGACTATAGGATGTATGAGGCAGACAATGCTAGTAATTAAACAGCCAAAGATTCAGATTGGTTTTACTAAGAAACCTTAGCCTTAAAAATTTAATTGTTTGGTCTCCTGGATTAGTATTTCAAAAGATTAGTCATTTCCCAGTATTTTCTCCTCAAAAACTACTCAAAGTATAAACTAATATACGATTAATATGTTGTTTAAAAATGTGAAATTTAAGTCCATATTTTTAATATTTATAAGACATGACATTAAAATTGAAAGATTCTATCAAATACCTGTCAGTAGCTGGTTAAATGAACACAAAGCTAGAAATCACAACTCTAGTTCCTTTCCCTTCCACTTAGTTGTTCATATTTGTATTTGCATATATTTGTGAGTGTTAATAACAGTAAAAAAAAAAAAAAATTGGGTAATAAGATATAAGATTATAGAGAAAAGGAAGCTAAATTGACAGAAAAACTTAAATGCTGACAGTCTGATAATTAAATGCTACAACTCTTGATATTTAAATGCTAGAACTATTTAAATATGTCACACCTTCAAGAACTTATACAACTGAGCACTGCTTCTTAAAACTATGAACTAGTATTCTAAACCCTAGATGGGGGTGTCCTCCAAAACTGTATGATACATTTTTTCCCAGTTCCCTTATAAAATAATAGACAAACTGAGAGTACTTTGAAGATATTCTACTGTTGGGAGTTCCTATAAATTTGTGACTACCATCTCTGTCATGTCTGAATGAAAAGAGTTGCAAATATATAAAGAGAAACACCAGAGGATTAATGCATAATCACACATATTTGTGTGCCTATATTTTAAAATCTGTCTCTTCCATTAAAAACAAAACAATGATGTGCCTATGTACATGTATTTTTTTTCTGCTAGCAAAATTCTTGTGTTCATAGGACTTTAAGTTGCACTACTATGTAAAATCTGAGAAACATTATAATAAACTGACAAGACTTTTAAGATTATGAAATCAGAGTGGGAAGATCAAAGAGTAGAATGTGGATAAATGTGAGGTAGAGATCCTTCCTAGAAAAATGTAAAGTTTCAGAGGCAAGGTTTTAAGAACTAGGTATGATAGGCAAAGCAATGGGAGGGACAATCCTAACGCTTAAGACTTCAACATTATAATATCAATAAAAAATAAAAATAGCCACAAAAAAAAAAAAAAAAAAGACAAGAATAAATGATTAATCTCCAAAATTCCACACAGTGCTGCAAACAGAACAAAGCACTTATATACTGAATTAAGGTAATTTATGTTGTATAGCATCTTAACAAATTAACGTCACCAATATTTAGCAATCAACATATTTGAATTTTGCTGTATTAGGCATTAGAGTTGCAGATTAAAGTAAACAAACAAGTTCCTTGACATTGATTATTTTCAACATTATGTTAACAACTGCCAAAGCATAATGTGAAAAGAAACTTCTTGGGGAAAAAAAGCAATCACATAGTGCTTAATGTCTATATTTACCTGTTTGGCTTCTGTCTGAGCTTTACTTATATCATTTTTACAGGCCATCATTTGACCAGCAAGAGTTGCTTCTGCTCCATCTTCATTACTGGACAGGCCAGCGGAAACAGCATTGAAGTGCTGCTGTGCAGCAGCCAAAGCTTCAGCATCTTTATTACTTGCCTCTTGAAGGGCATGCAGTCCATCTGTTATCTTTTTAACCTCTTTTTCCTTTGCTGCTAAAGTTTTAGAGTCCTTCAGGAAGAGTTTCAAATTGAAAAACATTATATTTCAAGAAAAACATCCACTTCCTTATACACATAAACCCTTAGGTAATCAAATTCCACAGCAATTTGGAATAAGTATAAAATAATTTAACCATCATAACTTTATAAATACTGAATTATCATTTTGAAATTCACTCTCAGTTTTTAGAATAAATGAAACTCTTATACTACATGAAATATTTTCATTCCATGTTACACATTAAATCCATGAGACACTGGGTTAAAAAACAATTGCAGATTTAAACAAATCACTTGAAAGAACTAAAAATGAATTTCTAAAGCTGTAAAACTGAAATAACAGATATCCTAAACTAACTCAAAAGTAGAGATTTTAGAATTAAGAGCATGTATATGGAAATATTTTATAAACTGTCAAGAGCCATAAAAATGTGAGTATTCCTTTTACAAAAAGTATTACTATCACGTAACATCTTTTAAGTAATGTTAACCAGGTATCTGACACTGCACGATACCAGCACTTAAAAAAGAAAATTTAGCAATCTTATTTACAATTCAAGTGACAAGAAATCCTGGCCCACTTGATTAGTTCATGATTCATCAAATATTTATTAGGCGCTTATATATAGCAGGCCTTGTTCTAAGACATTAAAGACACAGACTGAGTCGCTGTCCTAAGGGAGCTGATATTCAAGATATAGTAAACAAATAAATCAAGTACGGGAATAGAGTGATACAAACTATTACCTTAATAATAATAATAAGAGAAGGCCTTTGAGATGCCATTTGAAGAGAAGACTGGATGAAGTGAGGGAAGTGACTGTGCAGATACATGTGGGGCAGTACACTCGACAAGCCCTGAGGAACGTGTTTGAGGAACTGGGCTAGGAGCACAGTGAGTAAATGGTTAAGGAGCCAAGAGTCGTATCATGAAGCACCTTGCAGGCCACGGTAAAGATTTAGGTTTAATTATATAGTTGATCCTTAAACAACATGGGGGTTGGAGTACAGACCTACCATGCAGTCGAAAATCACATATATTTTGATTCCCCCAAAAACTTAACTAAGAATAGCCCACTGTTAACCAAACCCTTACCAATAACACGATTAATCCATGTTTTGTATGCTACAACAAATACTGTATTCTTAAAGTAAGCTAGAGAAAAGAAAATGTTAAGAAAAGCATAAGGAAGATACAGTACTGTAGTGTATTTATTGACATCGTCAGTTTACATCATGTGTTTACAAGATAGATCATGTCTGAAAAGGCAGGCAACCATAGCTGCAGATGTCAATCTACCGTACATTATCAAGCAACTCAACTTTCTCTTGTAGCATCCTGACTTCTCTCTGCTTCATGGGAGCATTTTCAGTATCGCTAGTGGCACTTCATATGGATCTCATGTTATTCAGGTTTATGGCATTTTTCATCCATGATGAAAAATACATGAGAACCACAAGAAATCACTTTCTACTGAGCTCTGCAACTCACTGGAAACATGAACCACTAAGAAGTAAATGATTAATGTCACACTGAGTTTACTTGAGCTCACACAACAGCAATAGGAGGTAGCCACAAAATTATTACAGTAGTGCACTATGTTCTATAGTTAGTTTTATGCAGTTATCATTTAATACTGCATCTGGGCTGGGTGTGGTGGCTCACGCCTGTAATCCCAGCACTTTGGGAGGCTGAGGTGGGCAGATCACAAGGTCAGGAGATCAAAACCAACCTGGCTAACACGGTGAAACCCCATCTCTACTAAAACTACAAAAAAAAATTAGCCAGGCGTGGTGGCATGCATCTGTAATCTCAGTTACCTGGGAGGCTTAGGTAGGAGAATCACTTGAACCTAGGAGATGGATGTTGCAGTGAGCCAAGATTGCGATACTGCACTCCTGCCTAGGCAACAGAACGAGACTGTCTCAAAAAAACAAAACAAAACAAAAAAACCTGCATCTTTACATTTGTTTATATTTCTTTCAACTGCAAATAGTGCCAAGTATGGCGTTTGTGTAAGTTTTGATAAATTTTAACTTTTAGTGACAGATTTTTGCATATTTTATGGTAGTAAATGATAAAATAAGACTAGTGCCTACATATATTTTGTGCATTTATGACATTTTATCTTTTTATTTCTAGGCAATATGGTATTTGTCTGCAAGTTTTTTTCAAATTGCTGCAGACCTCCAAATAATTTTCCAAAATATTTGAGAAAAATCTGCCGATAAGTCGATCCATGCAGTTCAAAGCCATATTGTCCAAGTGTCATACAGTGTACACGTAACTCTGAAACCACCAAAGGATTTTAAGCACAGGAGTGATGTGATTCAACTTATATTTTAGCTTCTGTAAAAAACACACTACAGAGTGGCAAGAAGAAAACAGTAGGGCAACTAACAGGAACATTATTGCAGCTACCCTCACGATAAGTCATGGCTTGAATGAGGTTGGCAGTAATGGAGGTAACAAAAAGTGGCAGTATTCTGATTATACTTTTAAAGTCAACAGAATTTGTTGATAGAGTGGATCTAGATATTTAAAGAAAGGCAAGAATCCAGAAGGACTGTAGGATTCTGGCCTAAATTAGGTCAGAATTTACCTAACTTACAATTAGGTAAATAGTGGTAAGATTTACCAACATGAGGAAAATGCAGTAACTTGGGTGGGTTTGGGTAAGTGAGGAAAATTCCTAAATCTATTCTGGATATGTTAAGTTTTACACTTTTTAAAAGTCATCCAGGTAAAAATGTTAACTGAGTAGTTGGACAAAGGAATCTAGATTTCACTGGACAACTATTTGGGTGTCCTTAGACTAACTTTGTTCTCCCTTTCTCAGTTGCAGTTCTCAAAAACAACTGTAGAATGTGCTAGAAAATGCAACACTCTGATAGAGGGAATAGCCTGTATAATCCATATTCTAGTTCAGTTCCCTCCTAGAAACATGCATGTCCTTTCATGCTTTAGCTCAGGAACTCATGTCAACCAGTCAATCATGTCTGGGTTTATAGCCAGGGGTATAAACACAGGGCAAGCTACTTTCTGGGATCCCTCAGCTGTATGGGGAACATACAGATGAAACTCCATCCAACCCTGGTGGGTTGGCCTACCATGAAACCTAAGCTTCTACTGTCTATTACTGCCGATATGTAAGAAGTAAATCTGTCACACATAACTTGTGCTGTATGAGTGAGTTCTATAAACACCAACAAGTTGGTAACTAGTGCACAGTGAACTTGTTTCACATCATCAGTACAGGTAGTAGGATCTGTTCTGACAGAATCATGGCTTACTGATGAAGCTGGAATGGCTTCACCCTTTCCCTTCCCAGCCCAGGGCAGAGATGTCACCCTGAAGGGTTGAGGGGTTTGAATATGCAGTTCGATGTTTTATAGAGGAGGTGGCATAATAAATGGAATACAGATGACCCCTTCAATGAATGAGCTGGCTGCATGGATTAAGGCAGAGAGAAAAAGAGAAATGAGGAAGCTCAGCACATGATCCCTGGTTATTGGACACATGTAATTGCTCATTCCCAGGGCCAGAGAGCTCAGGAAGTGGGTAGTCAGATGGATCCTGAGAGAACAGACAGTCCCTGAGGCATTTGAGAGAACCAACATGTACAATGTAGGCCTTCATAGAAAAGGAGGCTCACTAGCTAGAGGACAGGTATACAGAAAGGCCAGGGAAGGCTTATACAGTCTGGTTGAAGTGTTTGATAAAGGGACTCTGTGGATCCAAATGGCTAAGTGGCATAGTTTAGAGCGGGACCAAGGTTTCCAGGTCCCCACCAAAGATGGCCCTATATCCTCATCAAGATGAGAAAAAGAAATGAAATAAGCTTTTCTGGAGTTCTTGGATATTGAAGCCCACAGGACATACTTCCAGTTTTCCTAGGGAAAAATTAAACTGATGACCATGGGAGGGTTTCAGGCGAATGTAATGACTCACTATGCTTATCTGCTTGTGAGTAGGATAATTTGTGTCACTTTGGGTGCTGGTGACGACAGTTCCCACCAATGAGTATGGATACTGATAGTTTGGTTGCCTGTAATGCAGATCACCACGACCACCTGAGGAGGTATGCCCCTCGCAGCTAAGAATTTGAGCTATGCCAGTGGCGCATATCCACATCGGCCTGCCACCTATTACTCAAGACCTCATATGTTACTCAATAAAAGCAGTACTGTGTACCAAGTGGAGAATAAGACATTACTTTCTTAATTAAAACCCACTATAGATAAGAATGTCACAATGGCCTATTACTTTCTTAATTAAAACTCACTATAGATAAGAATGTCACAATGGCCTAGTCTGGCTGGTCAGAAAGGCGTGTGGGGCATGAAGACTAAAACTGGAATGTCACAGGTTGAATGCCAAGGTCACATGGACACTAAGCCAAGGAAGTATCCCAGATATAGTCAAACAAAAATTGTTGGTGCTGGTGGCAGTCATTAATAAAAATGAAGCCTCACAGCTGGTAGGTCTCTTGGGTACATAAACACAGCATGTTACCCAAGTGGGTGTCTTTTTTGGCCCCCTTTAATCCAGGTGCCCAACAAAGCCGCCAAATTTGAACAGGACACTTTGCAGTAGCAGGCCTTAGAAGATAATTTAAAGTGGTGGCCTTGGTGCTGCTTTTGAAACATTTATACCCTGTTAGCCTGATGCAATGATATGTGCCCACAATCTCTATGCATGCTGACTGAAGTCTACGGCAACAGAAAATTGTCACTGGGGAAACCCAGCCTCTCAGAAGTTGAACTTTTAAGTTGCTTGAGGCAGCCACCCGATATAACCCTTTGGAATAATAACTTCTTGCTTGCTATTGTGCACTGGTGGAGACTGTGTGTCTTAAGGCCAGAGCACTACATGCGACTCTGTGACTTAAACTGCCCATTCTTACTTGGGTGCTTATAAACCCTATCAATGAATTGGGGCAGGCTCAAAAGAGCTTGATTATCAAACGGAAATGGTACATTTGAAATCAGGCCAAGTTGGAACCCCAAGGGACCAGTAGGTTTCAGGAAAAAATGGCTAGTTTATTAGAAAGGTCCAAACAACCAACAGAGGATGCTTTGGCTTTTCCTCTGGCTCCCTGGGTCCTAAGATTCTGAGATGTGCCTACCAATGGCATAGCACGGTTTATTCAAAGTTCCATGAAAACCAGGGGATCCTCTTGACTGTAACCAGCATCAGGTCAATAAATGGTCATCTTTTGACTGAGACTGAACATGGACATTATGCTCAATGGGCCAAACTATATGCAGTGGTGATGTCCATTCGGGCCATCCCATCACTGTATCTTGCTACATTTTACCAACTCACAGGCTACTGAAAAAAGCCTAGCCATCTGGGCAGAAGGGCAAATGAGTGACTGGAATGTTAAAAAAAAAAAAAAAAATTACCTTTGTGAAGACTCAGTATCATGAAAATGGCCATACTGTCCAAAGTAATCCCCATCAAGCTTCCACTCACTTTCTTCATGTAATTGGAAAAAACCACCTTAAACTTCTTATGAAACAAAAAAAGAGCCCACATAGCCAAGACACTGCTAAGCAAAAAAAAAAAAAAAAAAAAAAAAAAGCTGGAGGCATTATGCTACCTGACTTCATACTATACTACAAGGCTACAGTAATCAAAACAGCATGGTATTGGTACCAAAACAGAGATACAGACCAATAGAACAGAACAGAGGCCTCAGAAGTAACACCACACATCTACAACCATCTGATCTTTGACAAACCTGACAAAAACAAACAATGGGGAAAGGATTCCCTATTTAATAAACAGCGTCAGGATAACTAGCTAGCCTTGTGAAGAGCAGAAACTGGACCCCTTCCTTACACTTGATACAAAAATTAACTCCAGATGGATTAAAGATTTAAACTAAGACCTAACACCATAAAAATCCTACTAGAAAACCTTGGCAGTACCATTCAGGACATAGGCATGGTCAAAGACTTCATGACTAAAACACCAAAAGCAATGGCAACAAAAGCCAAAATAGACCAATGGGATCTAATTAAACTAAGAGCTTCTGCACAGCAAAAAAAAACTATCATTAGAGTGAACCAACAGAATGGGAAAAAAACTTTTGCAATCTACCCATCTGACAAACGGCTAATATCCAGAATCTACAAAGAACCTAAACAAATTTACAAGAAAAAAAAAAAAAAACACATCAAAAAGTGGGCGAACGGTATGAACAGGCACTTCTCAAAAGAAGACATTTATGCAGCCAGCAAACATGAAAAAAAGCTCATCATCATTGGTCATTAGAGAAATGCAAATCAAACCACACTGAGATACCATTTCACACCAGTTAGAATGGCAATCATTAAAAAGTCAGGAGACAATAGATGCTGGAGAGGATGTGGAGAAATAGGAATACAGAAAAAGATGAAAAAGGAGCAAGCAGCATCAGTGTGTGAAGCTTAAGGACATGACAAGACTAAGGAAAAATGAACCCAAACCAAGGCAGGTTCATATGTTTAGAACTTGACAAACCTCACTTAAAAAAAGTAATTGATGAACTGGTTTGAACTGTTGGATGCCGCAACACAGACTGCTACATCATTCATATTGCTTCAAAATTTGCCTAAATTTTCCTCCAGTTTCTTAATTCAACAACTGTATTTCTCTGCAAAAATATCTAAGAGGGCAAATAAATTATTTTGACAAAGTTAATTTTTTTTCCAGTGAAAACGCAAATGTGTATCTTCACTGGAAGAACAGAATCACCCTCAAAAGAAGTACCACAAGCTCCAAAAACACACCTACTCATCTACATACATGTGAGACTATATACTCAACTCTTCTGTTATAGGAATGGATGACCTATTCCTAGTTCTTGCAAATGCGACCTCCTCTAATTATACACTAGTTCCTATCCTATTTTCAGCTACTAAGGGGCACTATTTTAACAACTCTCCCATCTCTCTCTTCTGAATCATAAATGACGCCTTTTCTACTGGATTTTTTCTGCCAATAAGGAATTTATTTATCCCATGTAAAATCAAGTCAAAAAAACTCTTCTGTATTACCCTCGTTAGCTCCCTATTTATCCTCCTTTCAGAAAACTTCTCAAAAAGTTATCTATATTCACTTTTAATTTTTTCTGCCCTCATTCTGTGGAAGTATAAACACAATCTAATCAGGCACTCATGGCCACTTCTCCTTGAAACATCTTTTTTACCTAGACTCCAGGACAACTTACCTGCATAATTTTTCTTACACTATTCAATCTCTTTTGAATGTTGAGATATTCCAACAATAATAGTGAAAATATCCCAGGGCTCCAAACTTCCTATATAAACTTACAGTCTTGATAATTTTATCTAGTCTTATGGATTTAAATAACACCTGTACATTGATGATCCCTCCAAATCTGTATGTTTGCTGAGATTCAATATTCATATATTTAAGTACCTAATCAACATCATTTCTCAAGATGTCTAACAGGCTCCTCAAGCCTATTACACTCATCCTGTATTTCTTAAGCTTATGAAACCTGTTCTTCCTATTCTCCACCTTACTTCAATGGCTACCCAATTTAAAATCCCAAATTGTACCCTTTTCCCCCTACACTCCTAATCCCCTGCCCCCGCTTTACTTTTTCTCCACATTAGTTATCACTATATAACATGTTATATGTTATAACATGTTATATAGTTATAACATGGAATGAAGACCCACAAGACAAGGACTTTTGACCACTGATCAAGTTGTAACCCTAGCCTAGACAACTATACTTAGCTCTGAGTAGACACTCACTAAATATTCATGCAATAGATAAACGTACACTAGAGACATATTAAGCTCACTTACCTCAACCATATTTTTTTCCAGCTCTTTGCGTTTGCTTTCTTCACATGCCAGATTTTTCTTCTTGAGATCAAAAGCACTTTGAGTTTTAGTATTAACTCGCTGAGCCTCCGCAAGAGCATCTTCTAAAGATCGAAGTATACCTCCTATTTCCTGTAATAAAATGAGCCAATTCACTTATGTAAAATTTGTTCCTGTTGTCATTTTCTTGTATGAGTTCTGTATCAAATAAATACTTTTTTATAAGTTATTTCCCTCTTACGGCAAGATTAACAAATCAATAAGGAAGACAATGCCCATCGAAACCTAAATAGTTACTATAATTTAATACTTTTTTCAGAGCACATTATCCATTCTAATACATATGTTCAGACCTTATCTTTTCTTTTTTCCAATTCTTCTATTTCATGATTAAGTGCTTTTATTTTTTTATCGTTCTCACACAATTCTTCCTGAAGCTTTATAACTTTATCTTGCATTTCTTTTAACTCCTCAGCTGAGCGTGCTTTGGTATCTTCAGCCAGCAAAAACTGATAAGCAATATATAAACGACTCAAATGTTCTATTTCTCTCATTACTTTTTGGTACTCCAAGTAGGAAGATCTTTCCTGAAAGGAAAGAAGTCACAAAAAAAGAATAACTCAAAATTGTATTAGAAAAAAAAACCACAAAATCAATTATGCAACATGTATTAAATTTCTCATTACATAACAGATTTCATCCTGTATTAAACAATTATAACATTTTAAAATGGAGGAAGCTTTACATAATATTAGAAGTCAGGATTTTTAGATAGCATTATACCATCTTTAGTGAATCTTTTGGCTATTTCTTTTAAAGAAATATGGACATAAGTTTCGTAAGCTAGTGTTAATTAGTCGATTAAAGACAACTTACACACCCACCAATGATACACTATTAAATTAATTCTGTAGTATTACCAAGATGCCTACCCATTATTTTAAGCACTAACTACTACAAGCATTTCCTCACATTATTACTAAACTTGATTCCCATAAGGACCTATTGGGACCAGACAAAGTCACAACTAAAATCCTTAATTTAGACATAAAAAACAAATTTAGAATGATTAAATGATCTGTCCACGTTGTTAGATTTAGGAAGAAATTGTGCCAGATCAAGTCTAGGACCTAAGTTTAAATTCCTGATGTAGTGTTTCTACTAAATCATGCATACAAAAAGCGCACCTTCAAGATGGTATTTTTTCCAGTAAAATCTACACTACTATATGGATTCACAAGACAGCTTTAAGTCTTAGTACAAAATTTCAATAAGCATTTAATAAATTCCTAAATGGATATCTTTAAAAACAACATTGTTTGGATGGGCACAGTGGCTCACTCCTATAATCCCTGCACTTTGAGAGGCCAAGGCAAGTGGATCACTTGAGCCCATAAGTTCAAGACCAGCCTAAGCAACAAGGAGAAACCCATCCTACAAAAAAAAAAATATAAAATTAGCAGGCAGTGGCGGCATGCATCTATAGTCCCAGCTACTCAGGAGGCTAAGGTGGGAGGATCCCTTAAGCCTGGGAGGTGGAGGCTGCTGTGAACTACGATCATGCCACTGAACTCCAGCCTGGGTAACAGAGTGAGACCTGTCTCAAGAAAAAAAAATGGAGTTTATAAATGCATTCTTTCACAAAATAGCGCCACAGTTTTTGATGTCAGGAGCTGCAAAGATTACAGAGAAAACTCAATTCTGTTTTTATACCTTTTGCTTACAAAATACCTTGACAGCAATAATTATACTGACAGTCCTTATCCTGGAAATTTCCACTCTGTCAATGAGGGTTTCTAAGAGTGCCATTATCTTTAACAAATGTTGTTCCAGTCAATCTTAATTAATACTTCTACGAAGTATTAAAATTTGGCATACCATTTTCTGAAACTATAAAAATTACTCTCCAGTATCTTATGACTTAGTAGATAAGTACGTATCTTCTGCAAGCAGAAGGCTGAGCCTATACAGTGCCAACTCTAATTCTTTAACTCACTGCAGAAAAAAATCCCCGAGAAATAGTATCACTATGTGTATGATTTTGGATACATCACTGACTTTTGAAAGACATTCTAATTGATTATCTTCACATACACAGAATATACCTCTTTTAATTTTTGAATGGTTGGAGTGATCTCTTCTTCAAGTATCTGGAAAATAAAGTAAAATCAGTATTTTCAGTATATAAAGTACCATTAATATTTATTTGGAAGAGAAGTAGCATGGATGACTATGGAAAACTGAACCAAGAAAAAAAAATTCTTCCCTCTTTACAGCAAAAACTCTTAGCCCAAATTTACATTCTTCTCCAAAAATGTTTTATATGAATTAATTTACCGTCTTAATTTCTTTCAGCTTTGCCTCCTTTTTTTCTATAGTTTTCTGTGCAGCTATTTTTTTGTATTCATACATCCTGGTTCCAGCTGCTTCTTCTATCATGGATAAAATCTGGAATGACAATTTTATTAATGTTTAGTATCCAAGACAAAGTGTCCCACTGGAATTTACATTAAGTATATCATTTTTGCCCTGACCTCGCTAAACATCTTAGCAAAATTTGGCCCAAAGGAATCATAAAAATACAGTAATTTCACACAAATCTTATCCTGTAGGCTTTTTCTGTAGGAATGAATTCTGACAAACACCAGTTAAGCAAGACTCCTTTATACAATCAAAATCAATTTTAATATTTGGGCATAGTGCCAAATATTACACAAACATACAACTGTCTTTACTAATCATTCCTAAATAAACAATGTTTCCAAAAATTTTAATAGAAAAAATATTTTTAAATGGACTCTCTGGAAGATTAAAATAATATCTATACCCACTATTTTTAACATCCATAAATGGTACTCTTACCTCTGGAGGTTTCATATTCAATACTTTCGTAATTCGGCCCTGAAAATAAAATGGCAAACTTACTAAGATAACAAATTACAGAAAATGTTTATCTGTACGGGCATTCATGTTTATCTAGATTGTACTGGCATTCATGTTTATCTAGACTGAAACTACTGTGTCTCAATATACCAATCTTTGGGGGTCTTTCTTCTACAATTCTAGAATTTTGGAACTTTGCTATTCACTTTCTCACTCACCGGTGATACAAATTAGGCAAGTTATGAAATGATACAAATGAAATAATCCATTAAATGATACAAAGTTAACAAGGACCAGGTTTCTGAAACAGTTAACATTAATAGGTAGAAATATTCAATTTTAAAACACATAAATATAAGAAGAAATTTTAGCATAATTGATAAACTTTTAAAATTTGTTTGAATGATAACCCTCCAGGATAATTTCACAAAACAGATAACATACTTCCAGGTCTCAAATAGAATAAAATTTTTCCTGTCAATGCCAGAAAACCATTAAATTCATTCATTACCAAAAACAAGTAAAAAGCCTGCACACTCAGGTCTCAGAGAATCATATTACTAGAATGTAGATTCACTTAAAGTAAATTTTCAGCTTTGAAGCTCTGATGTAGTGGAAATATTTTTATTTTGGTTCCACTGACACACTCCCATTGACTTTACTGTAATTCTCTCAAAGGATAGCTGGAAGAGTCAAATTAAATAGTGTAAATGTAAAATAAAATCGGCCTTTATCCCTCATTTGTGTGTCTCTAAATAAGAAAATTATGCAAACTTTTATACTTGTAATATTAAGTCATTAATCCAATAATTTAAAAGGACATATTATGACAATTTTTGTACAGTTAACATGTATTATTCTTTGAGTGACAAAATAAAAAGTCAAGGAAATCTAATTCCAAACATTCTAGAGAATCCAAAGGCCCATAATATAGAATATATTAGTGCAAGTAACTAAACCACATTTCTTAACAGATGGCCGGATACAGCAGAATAATAAATAGAAAATATAAAATCCAAAAATAAGGTCCTTCTATTGTAATTACTTTCAAGTAAAAAATGTCAAAACTATTATGAAAGAGATATAAAGACCTCAAACAGAATACCTGCATGATGAGAAAGTGGGGGTTGTTAACATTAAGGCCAACAGAACAGAAGAGATCCTGTACTCTGGTGTTGTTGGCATTTACTCCATTGATTAAATATTTATTTCTACCACCAATAACCACCTAAAAAAGAAAGCAATATTTTAAATATTAGTGTACATGCACACCTTGGGCTGTGATAAATTACTAAGTATATTAGCTTACATTTATTTGTTCTGTCTGACTAGCAGTAAACAAAACAATTCTGCATAGTCCAACAAGCATGACATGGCCAAAATCACTGAGTCAGGACACCTAGTGTCTAATCCAAGTACTTCTGCTAACTAGTTATATAATTACACACAAGCCTTTTACTCTGCTATGCACCAGACTCGGTCTCTCAGGTAACTTCTAGCTTTATGTTTCCAAGTATATGTAAAACATACTTGCCTTTCCTAGTTACCTTCTTTGTTACTTTTCTACAGAGGGTAACTCTCTCTACTTTATAATGGGAATAGAAGTCAGACAAAGTAGCTTGACATTAACTCATGACAAGATTCAAAAAGCTATTAATAAAGAAATGATTTGTGACTATTTAAAAGAAAGGGTAATCATGGAGCTTCAGTATGATTTCATTAAGTCGTGCCAGACACCATACTCTGCTATCACACTTAAATTGTCATTTATTGGGTATGACCATCTCATCTACCAGATTGAGGTCCTTAAAGACAAGCTCTGTTTCTCATTCTTCTAACTGTGCATCCCAATACATTCAAGAACACCCAATGTACATCAGGCACTTAAATTAATATTGAATAAATGTTAGTTCATTTCTTTTCCTGACAGGATTACTGTGTTGGTAGTTCATATATTAACGTATTTGAAGAGACCTCTCTGACAAGAACTTTATGACAAAACTTTGGTGAAGATACAGGTTTATAGCCTGAATGAGGACAGGAAAAATTAGGTGGATTAGTATGAGATTTAGTGACAATTCCTAGAGGGTAAATATTTGATGGATGCCTAATGGCATAGATCATTTCTGTCCCAACCTAGTCGACCATTTTTTTTTTTTTTAAACCAGAGGTGTTCATTAAAATAGAGAAGAAAATCTGTAAGTGACATAATGCAAAGATGGATAGTATATGGGAGCTGACAACATTTAAAACCTTGACAAGCTGAAAACACTCCCTGACTATATTAATAACACACCTAAAAAAATTTTAGTGGTTTCAAGTAAATCTAATATGAATCCACAATGTATTATCAACACTCCAATGCTCTATGGGAAAAATAAAAGTAGAATGTCTAAAATGAAATAATAACTCTAACTGGACCAATTCCGATACACTCAATCTAAGATGCCATTAAAAGAAATAGAAAGAGATAAATGGAGGGCAGGGAAGTAAACTGGAGCATACTTGGTATAATTAGGCAAGTGAAGGAACTAGAAAAAGACCTGGCAAGATTTCACTTAGAACTGAAATTTGTATACTTGCATATCACTTAAACACTGAAACGGAATAAATTAGATTTGCTCTTGGTGCTCTCAAGAGGACAAGGATCAGTGTATAAAATTTTAAGACAGCAGACTATGACAAAATTTATAGGAATAACTAATAAGACCTATCCAAAATCAGAATACGTTATCTCAGAAGACTTCAAGATCTCAAGTACGCCGGTGTTCAAGAACAGCCAGAGAAGATTCAAGTATGGTTTAAGATTTCAGTATAGTTGAGTACTTATATTGGATGAATAACTTTTCAGCTCTCTTTCAATCCTCTTAGTGATAGAATGTCCATGATCAAAATTTTAATATAAGGAAAATATTCTTAAGGAATCCAGTCAGAATTTAATGCACCAATTTTGCACATGAACTTCCTCTAGCACTTTATGCAAAGGCATAGGCCAAAAAACACATCAGACATAAAACTTCTTAAGATACCCAAATGTTTAACCGGGCACTCACCTGCCTTGTTACTGTGATTTCATCATGAACCTCAAATCCTAAAGGACTTTGCTTTTTGTCAGAATTATCAAAAGTAATTGACACCGAGGCTTTGGTAATACCAGCCTGCCCATTTTTGTAAACTAAATCTTGTAAATTAGAAGCCCGAACCTAAAATAAAGGATGAAAAGTTTATAAATTACAAAACTCCCTATATACAAAGCAGCACTAAAAATGGATTCCTTGCTGTTGGAAAACCCACCAATATTGTGTCCATTAAGTAGACAAGGATAGGCAGCTGCATCCTCTGGCAGAAGAATAAGAAAAAGAGGCAACAACCTGCAGTGGACATTTTTCTCTACAGAATGCTTTCAATTCTGAATTGTTTCCTATTCGTTTTTCGACAAAAAGTTACTTTGCAAGATATAAAGACAGTGCCCATGATTTTCACTAGTCATCCAATCCATGAATAGGATTTGGAAAGGCATCATTACACAGGGGTGAAAATACTCTGGAATGAGACCACTTTAAAGTCAGAATGCCTGAGTTTTGAGACATTGTTATTTCTAAACATCTTAAAAGGATGAACCTTAGGCAACCTCTCTAAGTGTCTATTTTCTCATCTAAAGGAGTAATATTACTTTCCTTAAAAGGTTGCAGTGAGGTGTAATTTACAAAATGTATAAAAACACAAATGAAGAGAATATTGGTAAATCTCCAAAGTTCAGTAAGGATTCTCCTGCCAAACTTAAAATTCACACAAATGAGAAAGTTTACACTTTACCTGAGACAGGTTGGAGATGCCCAGCAAAAAGCAGATGGAGTCCAATATGTTGGATTTTCCACTACCATTTAAACCAGTGATAGCATTGAAGAGGGGGTCAAAACCATTGACTTCGGTCCTCTGAGCATAGGACTTGAATCCCTCTAGAACAATTGACTTAATATGCATTTTCGACACTGTTTTGCGTCAGCAAACCTCTGACAGGCATCAAACAGGCCACAAACCAGTTCTATACGAAACAGAAATAACACCGTCTAAGTGGAATGTGAACCTAGAATCATAATGAACACGAGAGGCAAAAACAGGAATAAGAGGGCGATAGAAATAAGACAGCCACTTGACAAACTATCTCGTCTGATATAGACAACTTTCACTTACTCGAAAATATACCAGAGCCAGCCACTGCCTGGAAATTAAACCATTCAACTGGGAAGTCTTAACTATTTCTCCTACCTGTTTTTCCAGGTTTGCCTTCTACTTTTACCATACTCTAGCTAGCAAAGACTACGGATTATTTCATATCTCGTTCTCTTTGCCCATAACGTGCTTTTCTCTGATACTGGCATAGCTTACTCTCTACTGCACGCACGTCTTTGCTCAAATGTCACCTTACTGAAGTCCTCCCGGACATCCCTATGTCACCTCTCCACATTCCTTCACTCGGCTTTTTCCTTCATGGTACTTAAAGCTAATGTCAGACGGTCATTATCTGTCTATAAGTTCCTGTAGGTTCTTCACCTACATCCATCATGGCATCCCCGAATTGTGCTTGACCGCGGGAGGAAGGGAAGGCATTTAAGTATTTACTAGAGATGAGATGTATCTCTCATATTCTCCAACTTCTAGCTTTTACTCAGGCTGTGACCTAGCTTCTCCAGGCCTGTCTACACCTCTCTGCCCTACTCAAAGGCCGAACAGGAATTAGGCTTTATTCCTATGGTCACCTGAGACGCCTCTTTACCACTACGCGTCCTCCCCGCAGCCCCCGCCTCCCGCCAGGAAGCCTAGCCGCGCTCAACCGGCCGCGCTCAGGTAGATGCCTCACCGCTGCCTCAGGCCAGGGCTTGACGCACTCCAAAAGCTCCTCCGGTTGACAAAGGAGGGGAGCAGGCCAATTCTCTAGCCGCGGCTGCTACGAAGCGAATTTCACCATAGCGGCTACAATCCCCACCACCCCGCTCTCAACACCCGCGCCGGAACTATTTATTCCTTTGAATTTCGGCGCGAGCAAAGGACCCCACCCCCATTGCTTATTTCCTGTGCTGGTGCCTAGGAGCTGCCTGTCTTTAGGGTTCTATTTTTCTCCTGCACTAGAAGGATTAAAGCCGTAGGGCAATAGGCAAGAGAGTCTCGATAATGGCAGCTCCGCGGATCCTGCGGCGCGGGCATGGACACTACAGGAGCAGGTGGTATATGTTCACATCGGCATCCGGCATGCTATGGTCAGCCCCACACCTCGGCCCGGGGTCCTCGCGCTTCGCCAGCCCCGCCCCACCCCGGGCCCTCCGGTGGGCCCGCGGCGCCCTGCGGACCCCGCCTTCTCGAGGGCTCGGCGTTGCTTGCTACGGCGACCTTCTTTCCCCTTGAAGCGACAGAGTCAGGAATTGGGAAGGCTTCCTCTAAGTGTTCTCGTCGGTTCTGTTTTGGAAGCCTCAGAATCTTCTGGGGTTTACTCAGATTGCTGCAAAGTAACAGCTGTACTTCATTGGGCCCAGAGAGGCGCCGGCCTTCGGAGCACTCTGGCTCGCCTTCGGGCTCCGCCCGGTGCTGGCTGCGGACCTGGCGGAAGAGCCTTTTTATCTGAAGTGTCCTTGTCGGGAAGGGACAGTAGTCTACCGAGAGCTGTTCAGATCCCAGAGCGGAATTGTGTGGTGCTAAATACCTGTTCACCTCCCTTACACTGGAAAGCGGTGTAATGATTAACCGACCTAACCTGTCGAGAATATTTCTGGAAACCTTTTAAGACAGGTCACGTTTATTGATTGCTGAGTATTAGGCTATGTTCCAAGAGCTTTTTAAAATCCTCGTAGCAACCCTATGAAATCGGAAATTGCCCTTGTTTGACAAATGAGTAAAATGAGTCCAAATAAAGGCTAAGCAGCCTGTCTAGTAAGCTGGGATTTGTTCCCAGGCGGTCTGGCTCCAGATAACATATTTTTAAATACATATAGGCTTCATGCATAGAATCTAGTACTATTAATAACCGATCCTCTTAATTGGTACGTATCGTTCTTTCCTTTAGGAAGAAAAAAGGTGTCAGGATTACTTACGCTTCCAAGCACGTTCATACTAAAGAGGGAGGGCTTAACGGTGGAATGGGTATGGTGTTATCCTAGGTGAGGTAACAAAAAGATGGAGCGGGCAACAGTGCTATTTTGGGATGGCTTGATCCTTTAGGACTTCCATAACAAAATATAGACCGGGCAGCTTATGAACCATAGAAATTTATTCTTCACATTTCTGGAAAGTCCAAGAGCAAGGTGTGTCTAGGGAGGGGCGCTTTCTGTTTAGTGGATAGCACCTTCTGCCTCTGTCCTAACATGATGGAGAGGGCAGAGGGGCTCCCTTGAGCCTGTTCTATAAGGACCTTATCCTCTTCCTCAGTTCCCAAGAGGCCATCTGCTAAAACCATCAGTTTTGGGGTTAGGATTTCAAAATGTGAATTTTGAGGGACACATCTAGACCACAGCATCTGCATGTTTTTAAAGTTGCTTTCTTGGCCCTGGAATGACAATGCAGTCATCTCAACTGGTATTAACCTACCAGGAATGTGGCAATATTTTGAAAATGTTTCTCTTTAAGGAAGTAAAATAAGTTTTATGTGTTTTTTGTTTAAGAAAGGATTCATTTATTTGATATGCTTACCCACTTCTGTGATGTCAACCATGGCCAATTCATGCTGACATGAATTAAGCAGATAATCTTTATCTACCTGGATTTCTGCATCCCCTAGGTTCCACAGCTATTCACTTGTACTAATTCTGTCAACTCTTGCACATTTACTTTCAGCTGTGTCTCCTTCCTTTTATCATTTTGTGAGTAAAGAATTTGAATTTGCCAGCCAGACACGGTGTCTCAGTCCTGTAATCCCAGCACTTTGGAGGCCAAGGCCGGCAGATCACCTGAGTTCGGGAGTTTGAGACCAGCCTAGCCAACATGGAGAAACCCTGTCTCTACTAAAAATACAAAATTAGCTGGGCGTGGTGACACATGCCTGTAATCCCAGCTACTCAGAAGGCTGAGGCAGGAGAATCAGTTGATCCTGGGAGTTGGAAGTTGCGGTGAGCCAAGATCGCACCACTGCACTCCAGCCTGGGCAACAAGAAGGAAACTCCGTCTCAAAAAAAAAAAAAAGAAAAAAAAAAAAGACTTAATTTTCCAACAAATCCTAATGTGGACTTTGTCAAGTTGTGAAACAAAGTGGTTTTTGCTATGAAAATATGTGTTAAGACAAACTGTAGTCTGGGCACTTTAACAACTAGCTGATACACTTATGTAAAATGGATGAAAATATATATATAAATGCGCTTTTGTTGGATAAGGACTTTGGGGTGGTTATAAGAATGTGCAGATCTACTCCCATTAAGACTATCGATTAAAATGAAAAATGTTTATAAAGGCAGAGATCTCTATCAGTTTTAGATCTCTATCAGTTAGGACCTGAGGAAATCACTGATGACTAAATTGCAACCCTGCCTCCTGAGATCACCACTGGTGGGTGGAAACGACTAAGGCACAAAGCCAATAAAGCCCTCTGATTTGGAGATGCGAGGTAGAAAAAGAGAGTATAGGGTAGATGCAGTATAAATAAAACACTGTTCTTGCTTCATCACTGGATGTAAATTGTTTAAAAGCTTCAACACTAGCAGGCAGTGTTTCAAGCAGAAATCTGGCAGCTAGGGTAGCTGAGTCCTTATATGGAAGGCATCTGTACCAGCAAGGACATACATACAGCCATAAAGCAGGACCTAGGATAAAGATTTGGTCCTCTACCCTTCTAGGGAATTGGGAGGAACCTGTTTTCCCTTGGGTATACTTTTCTAATTTTAGAGTGCTAAAGAAGCTCTTCTCACAGGGACCCAAGTGAATCCTTTCTCCTTGGGACAAAGGACAGAAGAAAAAAAATAAAGGACTTATCACAGAAATAAGGAAGATTCATTTTGTTGAGATTATTTTTAGGTTCAAGGGAATGAATTGATAATGACAGTAAGTTTATATTTTTACATTGTATTGACTAGCAGCACTTTTTTTTTTTTTTTTTAGAGACAGAGTCTCAGTGTGTCTCAGGCTGGAGGGCAGTGGCCTAGCAGCACTTCTTAAAGACAGTCATGCACCACATAACATTTCAATGTCCAACTACGTTATATGACTGTGGTCCCCTAAGACTAATGGAGCTGAAAAATCCCTATTGCTTAGTGACGTTGTAACATCATAGTGCAACATATTACCTTTCTATGTTTAGATACATTTAGAAACACAAACAGAACACTGTATTACAGTTACCTACAGTATTCAGTACAGTAACATGCTATAAAAGTTTGTAGTCTAGGATCATAAGGCTATGCTCTCTGGGTTTGTGTAAGTATACTTTATGATGTTTGTACAACAATGAAATTGTCTAATGAGGCATTTCTCAGAACATATCGTCGTTAGGCAACGCATGGCTGTATTTTATTTCTAACGCCATATTATTTGAACTGTGGTTCACCAAATATAACCTGTTTGACAAACCTGGGAAGAAACACAGCTAAGCGTAATTTAAATGAGGAGTGGAAAAGGAGGTTATTCATTCACTAGTAGGATCTGGTTAGACTCATTCATTTTAATTTCAATGACAATGTTATTTTCAAAAGTACATGTTCTGTTCAGTTCTTTGTGAAATCTGCCTATTCTTCCATTATGATTTCGTTATTTTGCCCTTTTAATTAAGTTATATTTCTTTATTTTATCTTCTTTTCTGGTAGTTCTGTTATTTTTAGCTTTTGAGTTTCTAACTCTTGTTTACAACCTCCACTGACTCTCATTCAGTGATTTATTTCCTCACATGGTGCTCTTCTTCAGTGGGGTTGTTTTGTTTATGGGACTCTCTTATGCCCTTAGTTTCAAGAGTCCCTTTAGAGCAATTATGCATTTACTTCTGCCAGCATACTGTAGCTTTTAAAGATCCTGAAGCATTTTTAAATGATGATTTCTCAGTTTGTGCCTCCTGAATTATGCAAATATTGTAAATTTAGATCTGTTGCAGGGCTGCAGTTTTGGTTTCTCATAAGTACCTTATGTTTTTGTCCCTATCCAAAGCTCCAAAGAACAAATTTTTCATTGCTTCCCCAGACTAGTAGATTGCCTTTTTCCAGTTCCACAGACTGGCAATTCCTAAGGCTCCAGGTGTTACCTAGAGACTTGGTTCCAGCTCACCTGCCTTATCAAAGCTCAGCCTCGTGATTGGACATTAAAACCCAGCTACTGGCTCCTGAGGCATATAGCCAAGTGTAAAATTTTGGAGGGCTACCACAGTATCAGTTTTGCTTTCTGCTCTTCAATTTTTTAAATTTATTTTGGACACAGAATTTTGTTTTTTTTGTTTTTAAGGTTGTATATGGTTTCTGTAACAATTATATTTTATCCATCATTTCTATAAGTTCATAAAGGAAAACTCAGTCGACCATGTTGGAAGAGGCCTTCTTTTACTTCTCATGAACAACATCAGTGATCTTTGTTTTGCTCCCCCTGAGCCTTGCTTCCAGAGCTCACATTCCATATTCAAAGTCGCTTTTCCTAAAAACCAGTAATCACTTCTCTAAAGAAGTCTGGTACTAGTTCTTAAGAAAGTATTTTCATTTACTACTCATAAAATAAGTTATATTCTTACTTGTTTCATATTTGTTTATTTCTGTTTTTCCAACTATTGTTGGCTTTTATCACTTGCATGCTGGTTTATAGCCAGAGCTACTTATCTTGCCTCTCTTCTGCTTCGTGTGTGATCATATCCCTTCTTTTTTTTTTTTTTTTTTTTCTTTTTCCTACATGAGCAAGGATTTCAGAAATCAAATCATACCCCTTCTTTTATGGGGATAATTATTTGCTTCTCTTCCTCAATTCTTCTCTTCCTCTTATTCTCATTTCATAGTTCTCATTGTCATGATGGTCTTGTGTTACTTTTTATTTCAATTCCACACACATCTGCCTGATCCGCCTTCAACTGGTTCCTTTTTATTACCAAACTCGATTCTTACTAGAGCCAAAGAGACTCTTTATTTTAAGATTTTTTTGTTTTACAAGATCTGCTTCTGCAGTTAACATCTCCTCTACCTCTTACACCACTCTGTAGTTCTCTACAGTCAACAAATATATCTGAACTTAATTTCCCACTTCAACAAGACTCGGCCTACTCTAAAGTTTTACAAAACATATATGTTTCTATATATAAATGAT